GCTCGAAACGGGCGCCAAAAAACAGCCAGGACCTACTCCATGGGGGGGAGGGGGGGGGCGCGCCGACCGGCAAAAAAATGAATGAAAAACTATCACAATTTTTCCCTTGTCTGATCCTCTAAGTTCCCCGCTGAACTCGGCCAGGCTGAACTCGGCCAGGCTGAGCTCGGCCGGCTGACTTCGGCCAACCGGACCTCGGTCAGAGATCGTCTGACCCGGGTCAATCCAGACCCGGGACAGCAGGAAACCAAAACCTGCAATGCAGGAAAAAAAACCTGCAGCGCAGATCTTCGTAAACCCGGGTCAGCCGATAGGCGCGGCCGCCTCGCGGCCACGAGCGGCTTGCTAACCCGGGTCAGCCAGAGGGGGTCTCCGCAGGATCCTGCAGGATCTGGTGCCCTGGCTGACCCCCGTTTGCACTGACCCCCGTCTCGAGGCTCCCGACTCGGCCAGGCTGCCTTCGGCCCGGGCCGAGCTCAGCCTGGCCCAGCTCGGCTGGCCGAGCTCTCCGCCTGGCCTGGCTCTGCTTGGCCGAGCCCATCCCTGGTGAGCGTTTTCTTATTCGGCGTTTCGACGATGGTTCCGGACCTCTGCTTAGTGCGACTGTTTGCGGCAGGGCGTCCTATGGGGGAGGCTCCACCCGCTCGATACGGGTGCCAAAAAACAGCCAAGATCCACTCCGATGAGGGGGGATGGGGGGGGCGTTGCGAGGGCCCGCGCCGATCGGCAAAATAACGAATAAGAAAACGATCACCTGGTGGTCGCCTGCCCCACCCACCCACCCCCGCTGCCCCCGAGCAACGGTGCTCGCGGCCGCTCGCTGCCCCCTCATCGCTGCCCCTGGTGCAGAAGAAGAGCAAGCGCCATATACTGTAAACATAAGCTTTTGGCGCTCCGCGCGGCCTTCCTGGATCCGCGCTGGACCCCCCTCCTTGGCGCGCGGAGCGCGCCAGGGGCGGCGCCGGAGGCGCCGCGAGGGGGGCCCAGCGCGGATCCTAGAAATCCCCGCGGAGCGCCAAAAGGTTACGTTTACGGCGTGTGTTATTCTTCGATGTTGGTCGCCTGCCCCCCCCCGCTCCTCCTACAGGCGGATCTTGGACGAAAAATTCAAAAATACAAAAAAATGCGCAAGGAAAGTCGACCATAGTTTGTCGGGTTTATGAAAAATCGTCCCCTGATCATTTTTGGCTGTTTTTGAATAATCCTCCTGTAGAGAGGGACGCATAGGGACATACTGATGCTACATGTCCGTCTTGGAGGTGCGCGTCCGACCCCAACATGTAGTATGCCCATCTTGTATGATATCGTTTCCCGAGCGGTGCGGCCAGAAAGCGCCCGCCACGCCGCATACTCCATAAGATTTCTCGGTGCGCGCGTCGCCCCTGGGAGGGGGGGGGGGGGCGACGCACATATAGTACAAGTATGCTGGCGTGGCGCCGATGTCGAGAGGGACATGCCCGACGTAAGCCTCGGCTCCCCCCTCGCTGCCCCGGAGCGGCGGAGCGCGGCCTGCCCCCGCGCGGCACGCGCGCGGTGGCGCTCCCCCCTCGAACCACGGCGGTCCGCCGGAGGCTGCCTCGGCACAGCGGGCGGCTGCCGCTGCACAGCGGGCGGCGGGGCCACGCGCCGGAGGCTGGGGGAACGAAGAATGGCATCAGCATAAAGACTCGGAGGCCCCCCATACAGGCGGATTTTGGACAACAGATTAAAAGCACTCCAAACAAACATTCAAAAATAGTCAAACATACTAAAAAAAAACATCCCCTGCCTATTTTTTACTATCTTTGAATACTCCTCCTGTAAAGGGGCAGGCCCGACTTAAGGCAAAGGGAGCGAATAATTACATAAACATACAACTCGGAAGTCCGCGCGGATTTTTCGGATCGGCGCTGGACCGCCCCCCCTGGCGCGCGGAGCGCGCCAGGGGCGACGCCAGGGGGATCCAGCGCCGCGGATCCGAGAAAACCGCGTGGACCTCTGAATTTTATGCTTATGTCATTCTTCGTTCCCCTAGAGGCGACGATCGGGGTAAGGAGCCCAGGGGGGAGCCATGAGCCACTCTGAGACGAAGCCAGGGCGGGGATAAAATTCGTTCCGGAGCTCTGCGGGGCGAGGCCCCTGGAGGGATATCCGCCCTTGGGCTACCGGGGATCGACAGACCCCCCTTTGGCAAGACGTGGCTCAGTGACAACGACCTCGTGCCCATGCCTGGCGGGCGCCAGCCCGGGAGGAGGAGGAGGAGGAGGAGGAGGAGGAGGAGGAGGAGGAGGAGGAGGAGGAGGAGGAGGAGGAGGAGGAGGAGGAGGGGGACGGCCGCGGCGCCCTCCCTCGAGCACCCGCAATCGGAGCATCCACTGGCTCGACGTGCATCGAGCCGGGGGCTCCGCCCCCCCCCGAGGCTATACTGTAATACTCGCCCCCCGCGTCGCGCCTCCTGGACCGGTCGCCCCGCACCGCCGCGCGAGGCCTCGGTGGCTCCTGCGCTCCCGGCGCCAGGCCCCGCGCGGCCGCGGCAGGGCGGCCTGTGGACGGCCCGCGGCCAGGCGTGCCCCTCCTCCTCCCCCTCCCCCTCCTCCTCCTCCTCCTCCTCCTCCTCCTCCTCCTCTCCTCCCTCCTCCTCCTCCTGCTCCTCCTGCTCCTCCTCCTCCTCCTTCTCCTCCTGCTCCTCCCCCTCCTCATCCTCCTCCTCCTCCTCCCCCTCCTCCTCCTCCTCCTCCTCCTCCTCCTCCTCCTCCTCCTCCTCCTCCTCCTCTGCCGCCGGCCCCCCGGAGGCGGCCCGCGGCCGCGGCGTGCGGCCGCCGAGCTCTCTGGCGGCCAGCCCAGGCAGCGAGGCAGGAGTCATGTTGACCCCCCCCCGTCGCACTGGAGGACCACAGCCCAGAAATAGTTTCGAGCACCTGGGAAAGCAGCGTCGAAACGGTGTCGGGCGAGCGTCTCCCAGGGTCCGGCACGTGGAAACCCTCGAGTTTCGGTACTTTCTTGGTGCTCGAAATTCTTTACGGCGATGCAGGCTAAAGTAGGTTGGAACAGCCTAAGGCACGAGGCGCTCCCTGATGTGGGATGGCGACCAAGAGAAACTCACGGGGGGCCATTCAAAGAATAGATCTCCGTCGCTGGGAAGGGCTTCGGGGAGGACGACATTAAAGGATCGCGACGACGACACGACGCCCGCGAGCAGGCCTGGAACACAGTGTATGAATCATCGCTCTGGGCGCTGCGGCGTTCGTTCTCGCCATCCTGCATAGGTTCGCGCCACCGCGGGGACCCTCTCCGAACGGTCGCCGTCCACCGTGCGCAAAAGACGAGGACGAGATGCGGACCCACTCGGCCTCACGCACCGAATGTCTCAGCGACTTCTGAGAGCCCGCGGATCCAGATATAATGTATGGGGTGCCGCGGCAATTTCAGAGTGCTGCACAACGCTCTGAGGAGACTATGGAACGACGCGATGCATATCCTGAGTCTGCCTGGATTCTACCCGAGCTCGGGCTCCGGGAGCGAAGAGACATGCAATCATTCAAATACGTGATTGGTCAATGTGTTCCTGACAGCTGTGCTAGGTGGCATTGGCGAGTCCACGCCGTCTCGATACACAAATCCAAAGGATAATACAAGAGAACCAATTCGCCACTCTCCGTGTCCATCCTGCCCTCGGGTCTCGGCTGAAGCTAGAACTGCATGGCCGCACCGTCACGGCGAACAGAACTTGGCTGCTGCCAGAAATGCCCCTAGCCCAAGGTGTCTCCAAGATTTGCAGGCAGGCCCCCACGGCCTCCAGAAAGCCCCTTCAAGTCCCGCAGGCCCCAGGGGGTCCAAAGTGAAGCGCAAAGCCGTAGACACCTTGGGCCAGGGGAGACCTTTGGCATCCCCCGGAGAATGCACAGGAAGCGAAAATGGCGCGGCCCTGGGGCTCCCTTCTCGGGGGAACCGAGAGGATAGGATGACTATTTTGCCTCCCGGCGGAAGACACGGTCCCTGTGCCGGTGCCACGGCCGGTGCATGTCGGGCCCCGTGGCCGCGCCACCATGGCAGCCCCGACTTCGAGTAGGGGATCGTCTACAGAATTGATTTACCCCAAAATCGATTTGCTCGCCGAATCCAGTGGAATTTCGTGGAGAATGTTCGCAGATGTCCGGAAATTCTACGTGTGACTCGACGAGAAGGTCAATTTTGGGGCAAATCGATTCTGTAATCGATCCCCTACCCCCCCTGCCCTGGCATTCGGGCCCCCGCGCGGGGCGCCCTTTTTGTGGTGCCGCCTCGCCCGAGCGCGCGCCGAGCCGGGTCTGCCTTCCACCCCACCGCCGCCTCGGGGAGGGAGGGGGGAGGGGGGAGGGGGGAGTGGGGGAAGCGTGGCCGGCCGGGGGTAGTCTGCGGGGGGGCGGCCACGGGAGAGCCCCCCCATGATTTGCCGCAAGAGTGCACGTGTACATGACGCATGCTTTGCGATGCCGCAGCCGGCGAGGCTCGAATCTAGAAGTCGCTCTTTGACATGAACCAGAGCCAGGCATCAAAAAGCTGCACATCCATCGCTCGAGAGTTCTTTGGTTTCATCGTGCCGTCCCTCCCCTCTCCCCTCCCGCTCCTCCACCCCTCTCGCCCGTCCCACCCCGCCCCCCATCGCCCGTCCCGTTTCCGCTCGCCCTCCTTCCCCTCAGTTTCGCAAATATTTAGGATCACTTCAGGCATACAACGTCTCCTTGGCTTATTGTCGCGCTGGAAAAAATCATTCCCGCTCTGGGGTACGGTTGGCATCTCTGGCCTTGGACACTCGCCCTGCCCCCCAGAGACCGCCCGCGAGAGCCCAACGGCCCGCCCCACGAAACGCCCCGCACTGCCCATCAAACGCCCCAACGCCTCGATCCAAGGCTCAAGCTGGATGGTGTTGCCCGTGCTCGTCCCGCTCTCGCCGTCCCCTCGTGCCGTCCCCTTTTCCGCCCTGGCTGCAGAACGGCACCGGCACGAGACCGGCCCACGACGCCGCCCACCCGGAGCTTTTTCAGCTCGAGCCCTGCCTCGACCGCCCGCGGCGCAGAGAGCTGCCCGTCCTTCTGCAGCCCGCTCGGACCGCCCTTCCCCCCGTCGCTCCCGCGCCCGTCAATGTGCGCAGGGCGGCGTCGGCCAGGAGGGGGAGGGGGGGGCGGGGCGGCGCGCCGGGGCGCGGACCGCAGCCGGATCCGGAGCGCTCACCACGCCGCGGCGGCGCCCTTGCCCTTGCCCTGGCGGGGAGCGCGGGACGGAAGGACAGGGGGGGGGGCGATGTGGGGGGGAGCGGGGGTGAACGAGGGCAGGGGGAGACAGGGAGATGTGAGGAATGGGGAGGGAGGGGCGGGGGGAGGGAGGGAGAGACAGGGTGGAGGTGCGGGCGGGACCGTAGAGGAGGGAAGGCGAGGGAGGGAGGGAGGGGGGCGCGGTGAGCAGGGGCACGAAGAGGTAGGAGAGGAACCGAGGAGCGGGTGAGAGGGGGGGAGGGAAAAGAGAGAAGGAAATGGAAGGGAGGGTTACGAAACGAGATGGTGAAAGATGGGGAGGACGGGAAGAGAAAGGAACGGACGAGCGAGAGGACGTAGCGGAGGAAGATGAGTAATTGGTTGACTGGTTATTCCGTGGCGGTGCCAAGAAGGTGGAGGCACGTTTGAACCCTCCTTCGTGGTCGTTTTCGACGGCCGAAGGTCCGTACAGAAGGCGTTGGCAGTGAGAGAAGGCAGGGGGGTGCTGAGAGACCCTCCTGCTTGCCATCGCTCGGACGTCCATTCCCCTTGCATTCGTCGATTTCGCGCGTGTTTTTTTGTTCGCTCGAAGATCCAGGATGTGCCGAGAAACAAATACACACGTCCGAGCGATGCCAGGCCTGCCTTCTGAGAGGCCTCCCTCGAAGCCTCCTGACCCTGCGAACAAAGAGCCCCACACTCTCGAAGGCCACCCCCTCGCCCGGACCCCCTTGTGCACGCCGCCATGGCCAACCCTGAAGCCCACGGAAGATCGCGCCGCACGATCGGCGATGCATCGGCGATGCGTCGGCAGCGTCGGAATTGCCAAAACGAGGCTCCAGATCGCGCCGCTCCCCCGATGCTTCGGCGATGCTGCGCGAGGTGCGAGAGGGGAGCAACTGGGAAGTTTGCGTGGGGACGATTGAGGGCGAAGGGGCCGTTCCACCATACCACACCAGACGAAACCCAACACTCAACCAGAGTCAACTGGATTGAGAGGCGGACTGGATGGGACCGGGCCGCAGAGGACCGCATCCGAACGCGAACTGCCCAGCGCAGACGCAAAGTCTAACCTCTCACGAGTGTCGGTGTGTGGCGCATCTGGTCAGGCCAGTCGTCGCTTTTGTTCGTCGTCGTTCACGTCGACGTCGCCGTCTTTTTCGTCGTCGTCGTCGTCTTCGTCGTCATCGTTTAAGTCGTCGTCGTCGGGAGCTCCACGGGCTCGCCTTATGTGGCACCGCCTTGCCTTTGCCGCCAGGGGCCGCCAGGCCGGCGTCTCCCTGGCGCGCGCGCGAAAAGGAGAGAGAGAGAGAGGAAGCAACGGATCCCGAGCGCAGCGGGCATTACTCAAGGTTTCCGGCACCTCACGCAACATACTGTGAGAGGCCTACGTCGCCAATGTCGACTCAAATCATCCGAGCACGTTCGCCAAGGATTGGATGGGGAGCGAGATCTGGAGGGATGTGAAATGCAACTCCCTGATGTGATAATCTCTGGGGTGAGAGAAGGCTCTGGCGTTTCACGCGACCGGGAAGCTATGCCGACGACCGACCCAGACACTGACAGCTTCAATGACACATGTCGCTGCTGAGCTCGCGATGCGGCACGTGCCGCGATCTGAATTACGTGTGAATTCGGCACCATCGGAAAACAACTGCGGCACAGCAGAAGGCACCTCTTTGAGCTCGCGACCTCGTTGCATTGGCGTCGGTGTCGCGAAACTGGATCCCAGCCGGCGTCCCTGAGAAAAGTAGAATTTCTCACAACGCATTCGAGCGCTTGGGGGGGCAAGACCGCGTCGGCGCGAGAGTCGCGTCCGCGGGCCACTGCTGCTGACGGCTGGCAGTCCACCGTGCAAACAGAGCTGCCGCACGGGGGCTCGAAGGATCAAACAGACCGCGAGGATCGCAGATTCCTCGCGCGCCGTCGGGCAAGCATCGAAACCGTTCGCGTCCCTCTTTGGATTCCAACGTTGGTTTGTCACTGTAGAATGGGTCAAGAGGCAAACGCTGAAGCACCGATTCCGTTTATCAGTGCACCTACGGCTTGGTCAAAAGATGCGGTATCAACGCTACGCCAAGAAACATCGTAGACTCCAAGAATTAATTGACTTGGGCTGGCGCCTCGCAACGCTGCTTACCTAGATAGAGGAGCTCTGCAACCGGTCACTAATTCTTGAGAGGGCGCACGGGCACGCAGGACGCGGCTCAGCTGAGCGCGAACTGGCGCCCGACTCATCGTCCTGCCCCACCCCCTTCCTCCTCCGTGTGGTCCTTCCCCCTTCGCTTCATCAACATCTTGTCCGTCCGATTCTCTCCCGTCATCATCATGCCCCTTCTCCTCATTATCCTAATCCCCTGTGCCGATTCACGTCGTTGCTCCTCACCCCCTTCCTCCGCCAAAGGCGCCCTCCCTCATCCGCGTCCTCGCCCTCCTCCCTTCCTCTACGCCCCGATGCGCCTCATCCCCCCCCTTCTTCCCCCGTAGCCTGCCTCGTCTTCGTCCCCCGTGCCGTAGCCCCTCCTGGGCCCATTCACTCCCCTCTCCTCCTCAACCTTTCATATCCAATTTCCCTACGCAACCCCTCCACCCGAATCCCTTCCCACACATGACCCCTCACCCGCGAACCCCCTGCGCCGTTTGCCCTCCCATATCACGGCATCCTCTTAGTCATGCTGGGAGATCCGCGGAAGCCAACACCCCACCAAGTGACCGCTCTCTCGAGTAGTGCGCCGCGAATGCACAGTTGAACACACGAGCAATCGCCGACGTGCGCCCCCCCCAGCCACCACCAGCTGGGAAGAACACGCCCTAAATACACAAATGTGCACGAGATCAATTTACGCAAATCGGACCATCACATGTGTAAACGGTGGACCCACACACGCAGATTCACAGCTGACGGCACCGGTTGCGTACACAGGTCACAAAGTACTCTTGTGTGTTTCCACAAGGCACGCGCTCGCCACCCCGAAGCCACCCCTACATTGCCAAACCAGAACCTAATGCGACGCATCCAGCCAGGAAGCACTGCGAATACGCACTTCCCTGGTCCAGAGCGGCCCCACTAGAATAGGCACCCAGACGACAGCCAACCGAGCCCCAAGGAGTCCAAAGAAGGCCACAAAGGATCCCCCAAAAGGCCTCGCGGGAGACCGGGACAACCCACGTCGCCCGCATGATGACATATCACGGGGTAACGGAGAAATGTCTCATGTCACGGCCTTCTGAGCAAGCATAGCTGAAAGCGTCGCCGTACCGACCGCTGCACTGACACGGTGGAAGGATGTGTCGGGGGTATTACATCGTTACATGTTAGCGCTACGACTGCGTTTGGCGGCCGTTGTCGCCCGCGCTTGGATCGATCGCGCACGAAAGAAACGCATGTACCCACCACGCTAATGTAATGCTCAACGCACCGACGCTTAGCCATCTGGCATGCTAGGGAATCATAAGACATAAGACCCGTGTGTGGTCTGCGCTTCAATTCCAAGGCTTTTCCGCAACAAATTGAAATCCAAACTCCGCGTGCGCATCATAGCATGCTTGCTTGAGTGCAACTTGCCGTTTCTGAACCGGGCGAAGACACAGGTGTGGGGTGTGGGCCAAGCAGCCCATGCGTCGTTCAGAGGCGCCCTGGCTGCCAGACAAGAGTTCCCCGCGCTCCCAAAAGCCACAGACGCCCCCTGTGCTCCACGCTGGTCTCCGCGTCTACTCTGTAATCAAGTGCTGTCCCGATGCATTTGTTTGAGCTTAATACTCCACAGCCATCACAGTCCAAGCAGCGGCGGCTGGAACCACTGCAGGCTGCGCCTACAGGGGCGCAGACAACTGGGCAGAGCGGCGACGGCGCCGTCTCCACCACAAGCCAAACTGTCCCGATGCAAAGGATCACTCGAGTGCGCTCGCCGTCTCCATCCAAGAGGATCGCGGTCACGTGTCTTCGCGCATAGCGCTCAGCGCTCAGGGCCGTCGTGTGCGCGACCTCGCGCCGACAATCTCCTGAAGAGGGGCAACTCAGCCGATGCGACCGCGAACCGCGGCCATCTTCGCGCCCCTTGTTGGGGATCTAAGGGCCTCCCTCCCGGACGTGCCCCCCGGGACGTCCCCCCGAAGCGAAGCACGCGGGCGAGCTCGCTCGTCGCATGCTCGAAGAGGCACCGCAACCGCGTCAGAGCCTGGCGCACCGAGTCCCAAGCTGATTCGAGCCAGTGGCAGTCACAAGGTAGCCTCTGCCTTCGACATTAACCATGTCGCATGACTTGGCGCCTCCTGCCCAGAGATAAGCCGCTCTCTTCGCGCCCTCGCCAGGCCCACCTGGGGAAAGGAAGCTCTCTGACCCAGAGCGCGACGCTCGAAGCGCGATCATCGTCGCGCCCCCGGGGGTGACCTGGAGCAAGCGTGGGCCTCCTCCCCCGACAGGGGGTCAACGACCTCGCCTCGTCGCCGCACCACACCGTGTGCTCGGGCGCCTTCGGTGTGCGGCGAGCGTGCGCGACAGGGGTCGCTGCGGAACCGTCGGCCGCGGTGACGCCCCCTCCACCAGGGGCGCTCTTGCGGAGCAGGGTGGAGAGAAGAAGCAGGAAGGAGAGCGCGAGCGGGAGCGGGAGGGGATGAGGACTTTCAGGGAGGCGCGAGAGGTGCCGCACCGTCCCCAGACATGCGACGTCCTGACTTTTTCAGGACGGCGCCCCTGGAAGTCCCGACCCTCTCCCCAGGACCGGCGTTTCGTCCCGGGTCGTTTTTTGACAGCCGCAGGGCCCGGTGAGGGCCCCCCGAAACGAGCGAAAAACAGCCAGTCCTGCTTTCTGTTACGACGCGAGCATGTCTGGGTTTAGGTCGGGCGTGTCCCCCTACAGGCGGATTTTGGGCGAAAAATAAGACATACCCAACAAATTTTCAAAAATGGCAACAAACAGATACCACAAGATCGCCACCAGACTGTTCTTTGACTCTTTTGAATATCCCTCCTGTAGAGGGACGTGCCCGACTTGAGTCTGCGTCGGCATCGCGAGGCGCGCGTGCGCAGTGCGCCGTGCAGCCTCGGCAGGAGAGCCCTCCTCCGGGGGGGGGGGAGCGCCGCGCACGCCGACGCAGACGTCCCACGGGTGCGCCGGGGCGTCGCGCGCTCGGGGCACGCGCGATGCGCGCGGGCGACGCGGTCGAGCACCCTGCCGCGCTCGCGACGGTCCTGCGAACACTGTACTTCTTCCGCATGCTCGACTCCCCTCCTCCTCCTCCTCCTCCTCCTCCTCCTCCTCCTCCTCCTCCTCCTCCTCCTCCTCCTCCTCTTCCTTCTCTCCTCCTCCTCCTCTCCTCCTCCCTCCTTCTCCTCCTCCTCCCCCCCCTCTTCCTGCTCCTCCTCCTCGTTTTCTCCTCCTCCGCTCCACGCCCCTCGCACAAAACAGATAACCAGAAGCACGGGCCTGTGCAGGCCCTCTGGACCACTCTCGGCTCCTCCCGGCCCGCGCTGACAAGGCCACGCATTCGACCCGCCCTTGAGAAACTGCACAGACACAGTGAACATCAGAGAACCGCGAGAGCAATGCTATGACAGCACGGTTGATAGATGGTGCTGAAAATAGAGGTCTCCCAGATGGGGTCCGAGTAGATGGGGTCGGAGGATTGCGCTGGATCGCCGATGTATCGCTGATGCATCGGCGATGCATCGACGATGCATGGGCGACGTCGGCGATGCATCGGCGATGTCGGCGTGGGGAAACTCGGGCCCCACATCGAGCCGCATCGCCAATGCATCGGCGATGCGGAGCGATCCTTCGACCCCATCTACTCCGACCCCGTCTAGGAGGCTTAGAGAAAAACATGCAACTAAGCTCCAGAGTTCGCCGGCCCAACGGGCCCAGAAGGCGGGCTAACATCTCTGGTAACAGCTTTGGAATACTGCTAGTTCGCGCGCGCGTGGCTGCCCCCTGGGGGGTCGCCGACCGAAACATACGCCATGCAAAATCCTGGGCGGTCCCCGGGCACGTCCCGGGCGGTCCCCGTCACGGATGCCGTAGCTAACGGGGGCGGGCTTCAGGGCCTTCAGGAGCTTCTCGTGAGGCCCCCAAGGCGGTCTAAGAGGGCCCAGAGTCACCGGAAGTTGTTCCCAAATGCCCTAGATAGCCTCCAGACGGCTTCAACCGCCTCCAAGACGCCCCAAGATGCCGCCACGACCACTCCCAAGAGCCCCACATAGGCAAAACTCAACGATCTTCCATTGGTTTTTGCAGGTTTTCAGGGTTCTCACCTTTTCGGCCGCCGACGCTCTCAGACGGCCTGAGAAGCCTCGAAGACCGCTCCAAGACGGCCCAATAAGCCTTTAAGAGAGCCCCCCAAAACGGCCAACGGGGACTCCAAGATGGCCCAAGATTCTCCAAAGACGGCGCTGGAGAGCCTCAAGACACCCTCAGGAACACCCCTCGGGGGGGAGCCCAAACGGACGGTTCGAGTGTTGGTCTCAAAATCGTCCCCAGAGCCCCCCCCCAGGCCTCCGAAGAGCTCTCCAGGGCTGAACCCAAACTGTGCTTTTCGTTTTCGTTTTGCTTTCGTTTTCCCTCGCTTTTTTGCGTCAAATCCGCCTTCACCGCGAAAGGCAGCCGAAACGAAGACGGCCCACGAGCCAGAGACACCGTCCAGGCCCAGCCCCGGAGCTCTCAACAGGCCTTCGGCCGCCCTCAGACCCCCCCCCGCTCCCCAGGCTCCTGCGGAGCTCCCAACGGGCCCCACGAGGCTCTCAAGACGCGCCCGGGAGGCCTCTAAGAGACCTTCAGAAAAGCTCACCAGCTGCTCCAGGAGCCTTTCAACAGGCATCCCAAAAGACCCTGCTGTCGACTAGCAGAGGCGGATCTTCGGACCAAATTCGCCGGCCCAACGGGTCGGAGGCGTGCTAAGATGTCCTAGACATGTTAACAGCATTTGTTGCTCTCACGCGCATGGCCGCCCCTGGAGGTCCCAGGACGAAAAGTACCCTGTGAGATGCCCAGGAGATCCCTGGCAAGGGAAAGATTTTGGCGTTCTCGCCTTTCGGCTTCCCCACGCTCTAACACCACCCCAGAGGCCCCCAAGATCGCCCCAAGACGGCCGAAGATGCATCCAAGAGAACCCCACCACGGCCCAAGAGAACGCCAAGACGGCCCCTGAGGCCTCCAAGACGGACAGAGAGAGTCCCAAGACAACCCCAAGAGGGGCCCAGAAGAATGAAGCCAAACGGGCATGTCGAGCCCTCGACCCCAAGAGGCGTCAAGGCTGCCCCAAGCGGCCCCCCAGGAGCCCCCCAAGAGGGTCCAAGAGGTCCCCAAGAGGCGCCAAGAGAGCCCCCAAGAGGCATCCAAGGCGCCCCCAGGAGACCCCCCGGAGCCCCTGAAACTGCTGCACGAGAGCCCCCCGAGAACTCGCCAAGAGGCATCCATGAGGACCCTGACGCACAACCGCCGCAGCGCCGACCAGCAGCGCCGCATGGCCCACGAACGGGCACGCAAACGCCACCGATGGACAACACGGGCCGGCGGGACGGGCGAAGCAGGTAAGTAAACTCTTATCAACACTGACTGGAACTTGCCAACGGGAGCGGCACAAACAAAACCGCTCAATCAAGATGGACGGAGCAATCGGGGCACCTTCAAAGCCAAAGGCATACCATACACCAGATCCCCAACGACTGGCCATGCTGAGGAAACAAAAAATATACCGATATCGCTACTCCCGAGACCTCTCATGGGGTGCGTTCTGACCAGGATTTCGGGGCGAAGCCAGCGGTAGCGATGAGGGATGCGTAGCGGTATCGGTATCTGTTCCTTCTCCGACATTCAATTTGCAAGATGACCCACAACATCATGAAGTGACAGCCTGCTGCCGGCTCTCAGGCACAACTTGCTCATCCCCAGCAAGCCCGACCCGCCACGAGTCAGACTGCAACGTCTCCGCCTCCTCGCCCCGCGTCCACATCCTGCCGCGATCCGGCGGCGTGTGGTCAGACGGGCCCCACACAAGCTACAGCAAACACGCTGAAACGAAGACCACTTGGCGCTCGGAGGGTCTGGCCATTCCTCAAACCTAGGCCGTGGGAGACTCGCGGTGGCCAGAAAGCGTTCCTGATTCGGCGTTCTTTCTGTCAGCACGAGGACTGTAGGGACAACCAGAAGAACACACGTGCCCGGCCGGTACACAAAGGTACCCCCTCAAGTCCGCGAGGCCGCCCTCATGCCACGAACGCTCGCGCAGGGCGCTTTCCCCAAAGCCGCGTGAAATCGTGTACGGCAAGCTCGCGTCGTGGCGACCCTGGCGTCGGCTTCTGACACCGCGTGGTGCGAGGTGGGGATTTATCCATATCCACCGCCTGGGAACCGACGTCCTGGTGACCCAGCGGGCGGTGGGTATGGACACAGTTCGGCCCCCGGGGAGCCGAATATGTCCATCTCCACCGCCTGCCGAGGCTCCGAAAACTGACCCTCCAGGCGGTGGCCATGCATGAAAGTTCCTGCCTCGGAGCGTGGTTACCAGCCTGGAACATATCCCTATCCCTATGCTGGGCACCTCCTCATCACGATGCCAATCTTAGGGATTCCCTTATTTTTTGAGGGCAACTCCCTAAGATTGTCATCGCCTTTTGGCGTCAATCTTAGGGATAGGGATACGTTCGAGGCTGGTAACGTGCGTCGCTCAGCCCTGGAACGGCCGGTGGCGTCTCGCTCGCCAGGATCGTTCCACAGTGGCCGATGCCGGGCCAGCGGCGGCGCTCCACCTCGGGCGCCCGCGCAAGGGGTCACCGCCGCTCCGACACGACGCGAGCCGAACTGGCACGCGTGCGTCGCTGCCCTGGCTCCTGGGCATGCGCAGCAGCCCTGCAGCCTCACGCCCAGCCCGTCTGGGGAGGCGTGCGCGCGCACCCCGCAAAGAGAGAGAGAGAGAGAGAGAGAGAGAGCACGAGAGGGAGAGAGAGGGAGGGAGAGAGAGAGAGAGAGAGGGAGAGCACGAGAGGGAGAGAGAGGGAGAGAGAGAGAGCACCTCTGCCGCGGTGGTGTGTGTGACGGGCCTTGCGCCTTGGCTGGGCTCTGGGCGGGTTCACGTGGCCCAAACACAGACGCTTCGCTCTCCTGGGCGCTCCTGCACGCTCCACGCGCCGGTGTCTGGCCCTCCCCCAAGGTGGGGTGGTGTCTACGCAACACTGCCTGCCGAACGCAGCCGCCCACCCGCGCGCTCGTGTGTTCGCGGCGCGCCCCAGGGGGTAGGAGCAGGTGGGAAGGGTTCTTGGAAGGAGGCTGCTTCTTAGCAGACGCGGGCCCCACATCTGCATGCAAGGCCCGCGCCTTCGAAGAAACAGGGGTGCGTCCGAGCAGCCTTCCCCCTCCCCCATACCTCCCCTTCTGCGCGTAGTCGACGTGTGGACTTCGTGCGAGCTCGCATCCCAATCTCGCCCTCGCCGTGGTGACGGCACTGGGCCAGCGGAGGCGAGCAAGCGCGTGACGGGCCCGATGCGCTCTGCACCCTGGTCCCGTCCGGGCCGCCACTCCGCACCTGGCGGCGCGCACCGGGGGGGGCAGGGGAGGGGGGGAAGGGCTTCTTGGGGGAAGGAGGCTGCTTTTCAGAAGGCGCGGCCCTCACGCTCTGCGGACACCGCCCGCGCCGCCCGAGGAGCAGGGGGGGTGCTCCTGCGGAGCCCTCCCCCCCCCCTCCCCCCCCCCTCTGCGCTTCGCCGACGCATCGCGCCCAGCGTGCGCCCACGCGCTGCCACCCCCCCAGAAAAGCAACAACTGCTCATGCGGCCGGCTCGTGGGTGCCCCGTGCCCTCGCGCTCCCAGCCCACGCATCGGGGAGTCGCTGTCTGCTTCCCTGTCGTCCCCCTCGAATGTAAACTCGGAGGTCCGCGCGGATTCCTTGGATCGGCGCTGGGCCCCCCTGGCGGCGCCTCCAGCGCCGCACCAGGCGCGCTCCGCGCGCCAGGGAGGGGGGTCGAGCGCCGATCCGAGAAATCCGCTCGGAGTTCTGCGTTTTTATGTATGTCATTCCTCTTTCCCCTGATTGGATGCACAGAGACGGACTAGTACTGTATGTCCTCCTTGGAGACGCGCGTCCGAACCGAACGTATCATATACCCACCTTGTAGTGTATCGTTTCCCGAGCGGTGTCGCCAGCAAGCGCCCGCCACGACGCACATGCTAGAAGATCTCTCGGTGCGCGCGTCGCCCGTGGGGGGGGGGGGGGGGGGGGCGACGCACGTGTAGTAGAAGTAGATTGGGTTGACGCCGTCCTAATGTCGGCGACACCGACCGCAAGTTCTTCTGACCCGGGTCCATCCAGACCCGGGTCAGTCAGGCCTTGCAGACTCCTGCAAGATCCTGCGCCCAAGCCCGGGTGGATGCGAAGGCTCCCGCAAGATCCTGCAGCCTCACCCGGGTCACTGCGACCCGACCCTGGCCCTGCAGGATCCTGCAAGATCGGGCGCTCTGCCTGACCCCCGTTTGCACTGACCCCCCCTCCAGGCGCCCGACCTGCCCCCCGCCCAGGGCCCCCCCCCCCCGGCAGCCCCTTGGGAACGCCCGCCCCGCCCCCAGGGAGCGCCCGCCGCCCACATACGATTGCCGAGGCGGGGCGGCCAGGGGCCTGCCGAGAGGCCCCCTCTCTCGCGCGAGGCCGCTCCCTCGGGCCCCTCCGACGACGCACTTCGGAGGCCTCCCAGGCGGGGTCCGAGCAGACGGGGCCGGAGGCTCGCGCCGCATCGCCAACGCATCGGCGACTCATCGCCGATGCGTCAGCGATGCATCGCCGACGTCGGCGGTGCATCGGCGACGCCGGCGCGGGGAGACAGCGTCTGCCCATCGAGCCGCATCGCCGGTGTATCGGCGATGCGGCGCGATCCTCCGACCACATCTAACTACTCGGATCCCATCTAGGAGGCCTAGACAGCTGCAGTCGAAGCCAGGACGAGGATAACACTGGGTGAGGGCAAGTCGGGGATCTCGGAGGTCCGGCGGCTCTGGAGGATGTCCTGGGCGCCGCGGCCTTCTCGGAACGGATGCATCCTCGTCCTGGCCCCGTCCGAACCGAACCATTCCCGACCAGCTGCTGGCGGAGCCGGGCGGGGCCGTGGCCGCGAGACCTCCCTGCCAGGGCCCTACTAGAGATCGAGCCCGGCCGACTGCACCCCGAGGCCCCAACATCCGACGACGCGACTGAGCAATCGCGGCCCCGAGAGGTCACGGCCCTTCTTCCTCGGGACGCTTTTTGCCCCGGACCTGTCTGTGCTATGGGGCCCGAAAGCGCCCCCACTGGAGGCCGACACTTGGAAGCCCGAAACGGCCCCTGGAAGCACACCGGGATAAAATCAATGCGCGTCACGCCCCGCGATGCGCGACGAGCGAAGATGGGCAACCCTTGGGCCCAGGCAATCCGAGGCCCGGCGATGCCCGCGCGCTCTTGCACGCTTGGGCCCTACATGTTTCTTGCACGCTCGTGATCGCATGTGCTATCACTGAGTCTGCCAATGCGTCGTCTAGGCGCGGCTTCTTTCGTTCGTTCTGGCCCCGGCAGCGACGAGCAAGGCGCAATTGCCTTCGCGCCCACGGGGGTGACCTCTGGGATGCCTCTCGGGCGGGTGGCAATAGGGGGTGACTTCAATGGGGGGTGAACACAAAGAGGCCCCAAAGAGAAGGGCCTAAAAGGGCCCTTAGGTCAGGGCCCCTGGCTTCACCCCCCATCTAGGTCATCTCGCATTGTCGACAGTGACCCTTTAGGCAAGAGTGACAACGTTCGGAGGCCGCGGGGTGGCCGAATCGGAGCGCGCAAGCCGCTGCCATCGCATAGCACTCATGCAGCCATCTGGGGACCCTGGTGTGCCCGCACTGAAGGTCACTCCCGCGACAGGTCGCTCTTACGTACAGCCGACAGTAAGCCGACATTACCGCCCGCCCGGGCCTCGAGGGCGCCTCCTCGCCCGGCCCTCGGGCTCCCCGACTGGCCAGGCGCGCGAGCGGCGGGGGGTGGTCCTGACGTGGTCGCCGAAGGCGTTGGAGCTGCGGAGGGCCGCCACGGCCGCCTCGCGCGGCCAGGCGCGGCCGGCGGTAGCTCTGGGTCCTCTTCCTGGCCTTCCTCTGGGAGCAAGGGAAAGCCACACCACCACCTCCAGGGACCACCAGCGGGAGGAGCCAGGGGGGGCCCCCTGGTGGTGATGTGGTCCCCCGCCCCTCTCGCTCGAGACACTCCCTGTCCCCAGCTCGGGGAGGCATGGTGGACCTCCTCGCTGGAGGTGCCCCCCCCCCTGGTGGTGGTGCCGCCTCTCCCTCCCCCGAATCCTCCTCCGCCTCCTCCTGCCTCCTCTCTCGCAAGTGTCAGGTCGGGCCTGTCCCCCTACAGGCGGATGTTGGACGAGAAAGAGACAACACTTCAAACAAGTTCACAACATGATCAAACATATGCAACACATCGTCCCCATACTAGTTTCTTATATGTACAAAATTCCTATTGTAACAGGGACAGGCCCGACTTTAACGCAAGCGCTGCACGCGTCACCCAGATGTCGCCGCGCGCCGCGCCCGGCGCGCGCGCTGCCTGGCCCCGGCGCTGGGGCCAACCCGTTCTGGAGGGGGGCGGGGAGCAGGGGCACCTACACGCACTCCTCCCTGGCCCTCCTCCCCCCTCCCCGCCCCCAGCCGGGGCTGCACCTCTCACAGGGAGACACCCTGCAGGTTGTCGGCGGTGGACAAACCTCCCTTTAGTAGACCTCCCGTTAATGAAAACGGCCTGGGGCCGAAACCGACGGACCTGGACCCGCAAACATGACGGCCGCGACGCCCTCTCGCGAACCGAAAACGGCCAATTCCTTAATCGACGTGTCAGGGTAGGAGGTCTGTCCACCCCCGATTTTGGGGCTCCAGGAGCCGAGCCTCGGCCAGGTCAAAACCCTCGGCGAGGCGGCCAGGAGGCCCCCCCGAGGAGCGCGAGGCTGAGCGGGGCTCTCCGGTTCTGCTGAGGGGCAGGCCTTCTCGTCACTTCTCCCTGGCTTCAGGCCGCTCCGCAACCCACCGCCTGTCCCGGGCGGTGGCTGGGCGGCCGGGGGGCTCGTCCCGGGCCAGTTGGCGGCCAGGCCAGTATGCTGGTCGGCGGCGCGCGCGAGGGGAGGGTTTGGCGCGAAGGGGGCGGGCGGGGCTGCCCTCTTCAGAGGGCCGGCGGCCTTTGCTGAGAAGCTCCCTCCCGGCCTCTCAGTGGCCGCCTTCTGAGAAGCACCCGGGCGCTTCTGAGACGAAGCCCCCCCTTTGGACGCCCGAAATGGGTACAGGAAAATCGGTACAATGCCCAACAACAAACGTTGTCCCAAACCGGCAGCGGCCGCTGTTCGGCAGGCGGCTTTTCGTCTTCAACGAGCAACGTCCGCGGCGGCGCGGACAGCGCGCCGTGTTCAAAATGAACAGGAACTGCTGTCGGTCTTTGTACCCATTCTTTCCGTACCCACTTCGATCCTCCCGACCCCCCCGCCGCTGGCCCTCTGCGGCGGGTCCCGTGGCGCTCGGTGCGGGCCGCGCAGCGCTCTCTCTCTCTCTCTCTCTCTCTCTCTCGGCCAGCACGGGCAGAGGACCGACGAGCAGGGTTGAGAGGGAGGGCGGGGTTTCACGCTGTTGCGTGGTTCGTCATCACAGCTGCTGGTCTGGTCTTGAAGGACACCCGAACCCGCAGGTCGGTTGGGCCACCCGAGGAGCCTGACAGCCTCATCTCTGGCGGCCTCCGTCACGCCACCGCTCCCAGCATGGCGGGCGCCACCGAACCTTGAAATTGATGTCAAGTATCCTGGGAGCGCGGCCCAAAATCCAACGGCGAATTATTGCGTTCCCCCCCTTCTCCTGAGTCTGGACAAAAGGGGTTCGCGAGGGCTTGGACCGTGAGAAAATGCCCAATAAACGCAGGGTGGCCCCCAACGCGGCTCTAATCCGAACCCGAAACTGCTCAACCTGACCTCCCACTTGCCTTTTTTCGAAAATAACAAGATCACCCCAAGACGTCTCCAGGTGGTTACGGATTGTCCCAAGGAGACTCTCGAAAGGGAAACTCATTGAAAAATCAAGCATTGGCTTGATGGCTGCCAGACCTCTTCGATTCGCTGCTTGCTCCTACACTTCCCTCACCAAAACAACTCGCCTGGAGATCCTTTCTGGACGGGCTGGTAGGAACACTTGTTTTGGTCGCGGCCGCGAGACAAGGGTCAGGCGGCGAAGGCAACGTCCGGGGCGCGAACGAGGCTAATTAGCTACAACAGGCACAGGCCGGCCGGCCCGCTCAGCTGGTAGGAACACGCGGAGCGCCAAGAACGCAGCCGTCGTATGGCTGTTGCCGCGTGCTTCTGAGCACGACTTGGGACATATATGCTCGCCCATGCCTTCGAGAGCTGAGCGGAGCCCGGGTGCGGAGGAGCGGACCCGAGGGCAGCTCGCGGGGCACGAACTCACCCTGCCCCTCCCCCGCTCCCGCGGGCGTGTCGCGTCGCGGCCCGGGTGAGCGCCGCGGGCGCGCGGTGTCACGGAGGTGGCTCGTCCTGCGGCTTTCGAGGCCGCCCGAGGAGATCTCGACAAGCTTCGAAAGGGGGCCCCTGCTCGTGCAAACCCTGGATGGTTGGCCATGCGCCCGTGTTGCCAGCCACGGCAGCGGCGGCATCAGGGATGGCAGGGGGACCTGCTCACAGCCACAACCGTAGGGTGGCAGGGGGACCTGCTCGCAGCACCCGGAAGGGAGGCGCAGAGCTCGCAGCAAGTAGCCTCCTCACGCCGCAACATCTCCAACACTTCCAGCACTATCCGCATACCCTGACCTGCCAAGCGGCACTACACAATCGGCCGCCTCGGCAAAGTCGGTGCGTCAAGTGGGTACGTTACCATACCAGCGGAAACGGTGCTGCTGGTGATGACGTCTCTTCGACTAGCGGGAGGACCGCCGTGACAACGCGCTTTGGCCCCGCACCCTGCTGTGAGCCCGCGGGGTGGACCCTTCCACAGCCAAGCTGGCTGCGGAGCCAGCCATCCGACGATGTGTTATGTCCATCCGCGCCACAGAGCTGTTGAACCCTTCGCCAATGGAACTGGTTCGGGGAGGGGGAGGAACGGGAGGGGAGGGAGGAGAGCAGCCGCAGGAGCAAGAGCAGAAGCAGGAGAAAGGGGAAAGAGGACGGAGGGGCAGGAAGAGGGGGGGAGGAGCAAGACGCAATGCCGCGCCTTGCAAAGATTGCAGCACCATACCGTGCAGAGGCAGATATGCAATGCCACGCAGCGCAATACAGTGCAATCCAAAAGAATGCATAACTGATGGCGCCCCAGGCCCGACAACGCCACCCGGACCGAAACTGGGGACAGACGCCGAAATCTAGAACAACAAGACAGTGCTTCGGAGGCATGGGGATGTAGAGGTCGGGCCACGCCCCGAGGGGGAACTAATTATGGGAGTGGGGGCAGGTCAGGGGAGGACACATCGAGCTGGCATCGGCGACACATCGCCGACAGATCGGCGATCGGCCCCCGATTGCCCCTTTCTGGGCCCAGCACCATCACTCCCTACAGTCAACCCATATAGGAAGGACACGCGACAAGGATGCAGAGGCCTTCGACGCCCATGACGGGGCTCTTCGAGCGGAACTGGCCATCGAAAGCGGTTGAGGACAGACCGAAGATGACCGAAGAGGCAGGGATGCAAGGGCACCCCTGGTAAGATGCTCGCCCTTGCCATGCGGGTTGACTGTTAGCGGTTGCCCCCGACGACTCTCCCGCATCGGCGGCCCTGCGGGGGACCGAGGCGGGCCCGCCGCGGGGCCGGGGGGGAGTGGCGCCGCCTCGGCCTGCGCCCGCAGGCCGAGCTGGACGAAGGCCTGCCGGTGGGGCCCTTCGCCACGTCGTCGTCGTCGTCGCCGTCGCCGTCGCCGTCCCCGCCGCCACCGCCGCCGCCTCCGCCGTCGTCGTCGCCATCGCCATCGCCGCCGTCGCCGTCGCCGTCGCCGTTCCCGCCACCGCCGCCGCCGCCGCCGTCGTCGTGGCTGGCGCCCCGTCATCGTCGTCGTCGTCGTCGTCGTCGTCGTCGTCGTCGTCGTCGTCGTCGTGGTGGAACTGGTCTTTGTCATCGTCGCCAGCCCTGGGCTTCGTAGTCGGGTGTCCTCCGTCAGGAAAAAGAGAAGCTGGAGGGGCTGGGAGGTGGGAGGAGGACAAAGAAGGGGCGGAGGGGGGATGGGGGGGAGGGCGGAGGGGGGAGGAGAAGGAGAATCGGATGGGGGTGGCCCCAAATCCCCAGCCCCTCCCCATTGCTGCCATCACCGTGCGCCTCTCTATCCGCAGTGGCCGCGCCGAGTCCGCCGAGCCGGTCCCTCCGCAGACTTCCGCTCCGCCGTCCTCCCTTCCCCCCTCCAGTAGATGGCTGAAAGCGTCGTACCCTTGCGAACCTCAAAGGGATGCTGATAGCCCCCTGCCCCCCCCCTAATATCAATGTTGATCATGCGGATCTATGCTTGTCCACGCGAGCCCCCCTCGTCGCCACCCCGCCAATATGAAAATTCTGGGGCCCAGACGGGGGAACATCTTGCACCGCAAGGTGCGGTCCCATCCCCATCGCGTTATGCATGCCTGCGCCTCTTGTGTGCAATGGCCTTGTCCTCCCTGCTCCTCCTCCCCCTCTGGCCCCCACCCCCCTCCAGGTCGCCCGGGACCTGACTCGCCTTCCGGGTCTCTGGCCCTGGCTTGGCTTCTCGGGGGGGTAGGCGGTACAGCGCCCCCAGCACGCGGGGGCCGCGCGGCAAACGGACACGGCTCATCCCCATGGCATCCCCACCCGCATCCTCGCTCTCCTCCCCCTTCCAGGCCCTTCCCTCCCATCTTCATCGGCGCTCCCCTGCCGGTCCCTGCTCCCCCCCCTCCTTCCCCACTCCCTCGCGCCTCCCCTTCTCCCGTGCCCTGGCCACTCCACTACACATCCCCACCTGTCTCCATCCATCCCCATCCCATCCCATCCCACCGCCCCACCCCCACCTCCCGTGCCTGCCATGCCACGCCCCCCTTCCAGAACCCCCTCCGCTCTCCTGGTCCCATGCGAGTCCCCAAAACGACCCCAAGATCGACCAAGATGGCCCAGCCAAGTGTCCGTGCACACTACCCCGGCATTGCCCCAGGAGGCCCTGAGGCTCGAACGATCCCCCTGACATCGCCCAGCAGATCTCCCTGTGGTCCCACGATGTCCCCAAGCTGCCCCCAGAGCTCTGGATTTACAGAAGGGACGCAGGGAGGCCTCGACTGATCACACGAAGCCACAGAAGAACCCACGGGGTGGGAAGGGGCGGCGGCGGAGTTCATACGTGAGCCACACAGTTGTCGAATCCGAGACCAGGTGTCAATGAGCTAATGGCTCATACGGGACAAATGCGGAATGGTTTCGGATCGAGCAAGGAAAGACTGTGACTCGAATGCAAATCATTCAGACCCACATGATCTCGAATGGGGTACTGAATCTGCACGGCACACCCCGGATGGAAATTAAAGCAAAGTCCGCCACGAATGCAATGCGCGTAGCATGAAATCAAATGCGCTCCGAACGAGAAAGCGAGTCCATGCGAGTCACGCGCGAGACACATTAGAACCATAACCATTATGTGCTTCGAACGCGAAACGACGTGTTTCAATTACGAGCCGTTCCTGAACATCCTGGGGGGCACCTGAAAGCGGACTCTCTGGCCGCAGCCAAGCCATCGATACAACTCGCGCGCAAAAACGAACTGGGCGCGAGCAGGCCGACACCGCGCATGCAGACTAATGTTTGCGAATGTCCAGCGTGACCCTCCCAGCTGGCCGCACCGAGTCTCGCATGGAAAAAACGCGTACAGCATGCAGGACACAGAACCCCCTGGCCCTTGGGCAACCCCTGGCCGAGACCAACCCTGGAAAATACCGACTAACTGCCGAGCCAGACGCCCTGAGATCCCATGTCGTGAGAGTCACGACTAGAACCAAGATGTCTGCGCGGAGCTCCAAAAGCTCATGCTCATACAATTTTAGAGGCTTCCTAGATGGGGTCCGAGTAGATGGGGTCGGAGGATCGCGACGCATCGCCGATACATCGGGGATGCATCGCTGATGCATTGGCGATGCATCGGCGACATCCGCGATGCATCGACGACGCCAGCGTGTAGAAAACTGGGCTCCACATCGAGCCGCATCGGCGATGCATCGACGAGGCGGCGCGATCCACCGACCCCATCTACTCGGACCCCATCTGGGAGGCCTAGAAATTTTCAATTGGAGATCTGGACTCGAGCCCTGGGCCGCGAGGCGCTCGCCTCGGGGATCTTCTGACCCGGGCCATTCCCGACCTGGGTCGGTCAGGCCGTGCAGAGTCCTGCAAGCGCCTGCAAGATCCTGCAAGATCCAAGCCTCGGTCAGTGCGGAAGATCCTGCAAGATCCTGCAGGATCCTGCACCCAAGCCCGGGTCAAGGCGACCCTGGCCCTGCAGGATCCTGCAGGTCCTGCAAGGTCAAGGCCTCCTGGACGGGGTCCGAGTAGATGGGGTCGGAGTATCGCGCCAGATCGCCGATGAATCGGCGATGCGTTGGCGATGCATCGGCGATGCACCGGCGATGCATCGTCGACGTGGGCGATGCATCGCCGACGCTAGCGTGGAGGAAATCGGGATCGGCATCGAGCCGCATCGCCGATGCATCGGCGAGGCGGCGCGATCCTCCGACCCCACCTATTTGGACCCCATCTGGGAGGCCTAGAACGATCAGGCGCTCTGGCCGACCCCCGTTTGGCACTGACCCCCGTCTCTTGCGCCCCGCTCGCCCTGGAGGCGGGGGGGGCCAAGGACTAGGTCGGGCCTGTCCCCCTACAGGCCAATTTTGGACGAAACATCAAAAATTGTAGAACAAATCTGAAAACATGCTCAAACATAGTCGAAAAATCGCCCCCTGACTATTTCTAAATTTTCGTCCTGTAGAGGGACACGCCCGACTTAAGCCGAAGACCGGGCGGCCGCGCGGCGCGCCTGGCCCCCGTCACGGTCGATCCGGCGGACGCGGCCGTGGACCTGCCGCGCCGCCGGCGGCCCTCTCCCTCTCGGGGAGACGCAAAGGGACGTAATGAAGTAGATTGGGTCCAGGCCCTCCCAGAGATAAACACAACATACCAAACGCACATCGACTTTCAAAGTCGGAAGGCGCTGGAAATGGAGTGGGCCCCAGGAATCCAAAAATACCTACTTGAAACGACCAGCGTGTATCCTGATAAGCACAAACGTACTAACACTATATGTCCTCCTTGGAGGCGCGCGTCCGACCCGAACATGTAGTGCACCCATCTTATAGTATATCGTTTCTCGAGCGGTTTGGCCAGAAAACGCCCGCCACGACGCATATACTGCTAGATTTCTCGGTGCGCGCGTCGCCACTGGGGAGGCGACGAACCCATAGTATCATAGTGTTGGGATGACGCCGACGTGAGACTCGGGCTCGGGGGACTCGGCCTCGGGCTTTGTGGCCAGACAGGGCCGTCAGGAACATGACGAGACCCGGTCCGAGATCCGGCGCGGGCTCCCGCCGCAGACGTCGCACGAAAGCGGGACCGTGAGGGTCCAGGAGCGGCTCGTCAAAACGCGTTGGCGAACCAGAGTCCCGGCGAGCTCGAGACTTACGTGTCCCTCCCTCTCGCCGGGCTGGGCGCAACTGCCAAGCACAGGTCGGGCATGTTCCCCTCCAGGCGGATTTTGGAGGAACAATCATACACATCAGAGTCACGGGGCCGAACGGTCATTCATTGTCCCTGGGTGCGCGGCTGAATAGGGAATTCATGGTGAGAATCCAGCTTGTTGCGTCGTCGTCGTCGTCGTCGTCGTCGTCGTTGTTGTTGTTGTTGTTGTTGTTGTTGTTGTTGTTGCTTGTTGTCGTCGTCCCACCCACGACCCACCCGCGACCCAACCCGCGACCCACCCCACGATTCACCCCGCGACCCACCCGCGACCCACCTGCGACCCACCCTGCGACCCACCCGCGACCCACCCCGCGACCCATCCGCGACCCATCCGCGACCCACCCGCGACCCACCCGCGACCCACCCGCGACCCACCCAGCGACCCATCCGCTACCCATCCGCGACCCACCCGCGACCCACCCCGCGATTCACCCGCGACCCACCCTCAAGGGAGGAAAAACCACCCGGACCCGACAATTCAAACTTACTACACGGCCCTGGGCGTCCTGCCCTGCTCGATTCATTCCTTGCGTGCGTTTACCAATGGCTTCGCTTGTCGGGGTGATTATTATGGGGTGGCTATTCTGCCGACCCACCCGCGACCTACCCACATTTGTTTAACGATAAAATCGGCGCCTGCGGCGGGCTCCTCCAGAGTCTCGCAGACTGCCGACGTCCCCACCGCCCCCACTCTTATCCGCATCTGTGGGGTGTTACGATCTACACGTACACACATATATATATATATATATTATATATATATATATATATATATATGTATATGTGTATATATAAAACACATCTGCAAATACATCTACATATATATATATATATATATATATATATATATATGCGTAAGTACATAATTATACACACATTCCTACATCGTCAAACGAATAAATCGTCCCCATACCATCTTCTCATTGTTTGAATATGCCTCCTGTAGAGGGACATGCCCGACTTCATGCCAGGCCCGCCGGCCCACCGGCAGGCCTCCCGCAGAGCCGCCCCGCCGCAGCGTGCCGCCCCGCCTGGCCCTGCCAGACGAGTCCCGCGCCCTCCCTCGCAGCCGACCCGCGTCCTGCCTGCCCGATCGCCCTGCCCACAGCACGCTCGGGCCCCAGGGGTGCCTGGCGCGCGTGGCGCCCCTGGCACGCGTGGCGCACCTCGCCCCAGCGTCGCGCACCTGGCTGGGGTCGGTGTAGCTGCCCATCCAAAGACGACCGCAGAACATACTGACCTCCCCCTCCTCCTCACCCGCCCCTCGTGCCCTCCCCGTCACGCAGCTCCCTCCTCCCTTCCTCTTCCTCAGGAATCAACACATCCCTGTGTCGCGCCCCGAGGCTGGTCGAAAAAGGGCGGGCCGGGCGGGCCGCCCGAGACGTCCTCTCCATTTTGAGTCCCGCAGCTTGAATATTGCAGCAGCTCCTCGGATGGAGGGCGGGCGGTTTTCAAAATGTGACTCTCGCCCTAGTGCCGCGAACCTTCGTTGAAATCCCACCAGCCCGTTAGGGCGTAGGTGGTCTAGCGTGTCTTGTCTTCCATCTGCCCGTCTCCCCCTTCGGGGAGGGATGTATCACTACTCCCTATGAAATATTATACGTACTTCCCCTCCCCCACCCAGCCGACGGCCAACCCCGAACTATTCTAACCCCATGAGGGCCACCCCCCATCATCCCTGTCAAAAAACAATACACAACTCTACCCCCACATGTGGAGCATGCGCGGCCAACGCGATGCCCCCCCCCCACCCCCCCACCATCCCTATCAAAAAGCAATACAGAGTACACGTTGGTGCAAAGTCTTGAGTCATGTCCGTTAGGTTGACAGGGACGGCGGGGGTGTTAGCACATTCCCTGCTGTGCGCAGGGCTACCACCCCTGATGAAACACAATACTGTCAAGAGGTGCTTCGACAGGGACGGCGGCGGTGGTGGCGGGTGGCCTGCAGGACCACCAGACACAATGCTGGGCATTGGTTTTCGACAAGGATGGTGGGGGCCGACATGTTTCCCGATGTGTGCTGTCAGGTGCACAGGCGCACATGACGCCCTCGCACGTGCCCCGAACGTGGCGCACCTAACGCGGCTGGAATGTGCGGCACACCTGGCGCACACGGAGCATGTGGCGCATCTGGCGCACCAGGCGTGCCTGGCACGCTCGGGCCCCAGGGTGCCTGGCGCGCGTGGCGTCCCTGGCCCGCGTGGCGCACCTCGCCCCAACGTCGCGCACCTGCGGTCGGTTTTGGTTCCCAGTAGCTGCCCATCCGAAGACGACTGCAGAACATGCTCAGGCTCGGTTGTTATTTATGTGCTGGGAGGGCGGGTGTGAGTGAGCTAGACGGCTTGCGGGCGGGTGGGTAGCTTGACACCTCCCTCTACCCCCTCCCCTGGGCCTGGACAGGGGGGGGGTCCCCCGAGGGGTTGGGGTTCCAAGATGGCCCAAGATGGCTCCAAGAGCGCCTCGGAGAGCCCAAGATGAGCTCCAAGATGGCTCAAGATCTCCCAAGATGCCTCAAAATGGCTCCCAAGATGCTCGACGAGGTCCCAAGACCGCCAAGACGGCTCCAAGTGGCCAAAAAGCTCCCAAAGCAGGCCCGGAAAGGACAACATCCTACCACAACCCTTGCGAAATCAATGTTGGTTGCTTTCTCGCCGTTCCGCTTCCGATGGCCTTCCGAGGCCTCAAGATGCTGCAAGAGAGCTTAAGAGGGCCCCAAACGGGGCCCAAGAAAGCCTCAAGACGGCCCAAAGAGCGCCAAGGAGCGCTCTAAGAGCGCCTCAAGAGGGGCCCAAGAGGCGACTTTGAGGGCTCCCAAGGGGGGGCGGGAATTCAGGAACCCCTCTTTTTTGATCGATGTCCTCCAAGATGGCCCCAAGAGTGCCCCTAAAACTCCCAAGAGCGCCCTAAGAGGGCCCCAAGAGGCGCCCAGATAGCCCCGACGCCCAAGAGGCCTCCAAGAGGCTCCCAAGAGGCTCCCAAGAGGGCTGCAAGAGGATCTCCGAAGCAACCAAGACGCTTAAAGAAGCCCCTGGACTCGCCAAGATGCTCCTTCTCCTCCTCTGCCTCCTCCTCCTCCATGTCCACTGTCTCTTCCTCCTTCCTCCTCATCGCCCTCTTCCTCCTTCCCCTCCTCCTCCTTCTGCTCCACCATCCTCCCCCTCTTGAGGTATTGAACGGCTTTCCTGCTCCCCCACTTCCCTGATCACCTCAACTCCCCAAGGCATCGTTTCTGGATGGGCTGGTGGGGATACGCGACGTCAACAATTTGTGAAAGGTCTCGGCAAATCCTGGCAGGTCCCCGGCAAGATCCCTGCAAGGTCCCGGCAAGGTCGGGCAAGAGATGCTGGAACTCCTGGGCGCGGCCTCTGGGGCCCCCCGAGCGCACCCATGAGGCGCCAAAGGGTGGCACGCCCCACTGTATCCGACCAGGAGCGTTCCGTAGCTCCCCCTTCTGACCCTGGAATTAATGAGCAGCCTCCCCGTAGGAGTGCCAATGCCATGTGAGGTCCCTGTTGGGGTGGGAGGGTTGCCTGCGATGGTTGCCCGTGGCGCATAAAGGGAGTACAGACCCGAGTCTGCTCCCAACTCACACTAAGGATTGATGATGGGCATGCGTGCGCAATAACCATAGGAGGGAATACGACACAAGAGCCTTCCGCGCTTCGTGCTCGTGCTCCCCCCCCGTAGTCCAAATCCTCACCCTATCTGTCCTCGTCACCTCCCCGCCTCCGCGCAACCCTCCCCCTCCACCTCCCTCACTCCATGCTCCTCCCCCCGACCCCTCCTCTACATCCCCCCTCTCTCTCTCGTCTCCAACTCCGCCGTCGTCGTGCCCCTGTCCCGCTTCCCCCCCCCCATCCGCTCCCAGCGCGGAGCCACGACCCTCTCGCCGGCCACCCCAAACGCCCGACGTCGATATCTTTCCTCACGTGGCTCCCCAGAGGCCTGGACCCAATCCCTGGGACCGGCTTATCATCCCAAAGCGTTTTTGACGATCCTGGGGCCCACCAGAGGACCCCCGCAGGCCGAAATCCGTGTTGACTTCTGTCTTTGCAAGACGCCAAGATGCCAAGGACCCCCAACGACGACCACGACGAGCTCTCGGCGCGGCGCCCCCCCGAGCGACGAGCAGAGCGCGCAACCGCGCGCGCGCGAGCTCCCCCGCCGGACCGAGAAAGTCGCGGCCAAATCCTCGTCGCTCATGCCCTCCGGCACCGGCGACAGCACCACGACGGCACTGGCGGCCGCGGCGCCGCGGGCCCCGCGTCCAGGACGCCGCCGCCGCACGCGGCAGCCGTCGTGACGACAGCGCAGTCGTCGAGACGAGGGCACGGGGAGAGGACAACTTCGGATGGGGTGACGACCGCGAAGTCGTCAGGACGAGGGCAGAATGAGGACGACAAGTCGGGCGGAAACCTCTGAACGCCGACGGGTCTGGAGGGTGTGTCGGGCGCCACGGCCGCTTCAGAGCGCTTCCGAAACGCTCCGAAGGCGTCCCGAAGAACGTTCTGGAACGATGTAGAAATCCAAATCCGCCACCGTGCTGCTGGGCACGGATGGGGCCTGTCCCCGGGTCCTCTCACTATTGGAAGGGGCCCTGGTACTCACAAGTAAATACACACAAATAACATGATTCCCGATATTTTCCTCTATTTTCTGGGTTTTCGTCTTCCCCTCCACTTGCCATACTTTGCCAAATGTTCTGGCGACTTCGACAATTAATTGTGTCTGTGTGTTTTTGTTCCCTAAAGCCTCAGTCCTTGTGGTGTCGGCTGTGTGGTAGCCAACAACGGATTGCGTGTGAGATGTGGTGTGTCGGCTGTATGGTAACCAACGAGTCCGAAAGCCAAAAAAGCTCATGCGTTTCGGCCCTGCGTCTCCTCACCAAACGGATTGCCTGTGAGATGTGGTGTCGGCTGTGTGGTAACCAACAACGGATTGCGTGTGAGATGTGGTGTGTCGGCTATGTGGTAACCAACACGTCCGAAGGCCAAAACGCTGCGTTTCGGCCTTGCGTCTCCTCACCCAACGGATTGCCTGTGAGATGTGGTGTCGGCTGTGTGGTAACCAACAACGGATTGCGTGTGAGATGTGGTGTGTCGGCTATGTGGTAACCAACAAGTCCGAAAGCCAAACCGCTGCGTTTCGGCCTTGCGTCTCCTCACCCAACGGATTGCCTGTGAGATGTGGTGTCGGCTGCGTGGTAACCAACAACGGATTGCGTGTGAGATGTGGTGTGTCGGCTGTGTGGCAACCAACGAGTCCGAAGGCCAAAACGCTCATGCGTTTCGGCCCTGCGTCTCCTCACCCAGCGGATTGCCTGTGAGATGTGGTGTCGGCTGCGTGGTAACCAACAACGGATTGCGTGTGAGATGTGGTGTGTCGGCTATGTGGTAACCAACAAGTCCGAAAGCCAAACCGCTGCGTTTCGGCCTTGCGTCTCCTCACCCAACGGATTGCCTGTGAGATTTGGTGTCGGCTGTGTGGTAGCCAACAACGGATTGCGTGTGAGATGTGGTGTGTCGGCTATGTGGTAACCAACGAGTCCGAAGGCCAAAACGCTGCGTTTCGGCCTTGCGTCTCCTCACCCAACGGATTGCCTGTGAGATGTGGTGTCGGCTGTGTGGTAACCAACAACGGATTGCGTGTGAAATGTGGTGTGTCGGCTATGTGGTAACCAACAAGTCCGAAGGCCAAAACGCTGCGTTTCGGCCCTGCGACTCCTCACCCAACGGATTGCCTGTGAGATGTGGTGTCGGCTGTGTGGTAACCAACAACGGATTGCGTGTGAGATGTGGTGTGGTGTGTCGGCTGTGTGGTAACCAACAGGTCCGAAGGCCAAAACGCTCTGCGTTTCGGCCCTGCGTCTCCTCACCCAACGGATTGCCTGTGAGATGTGGTGTCGGCTGTGTGGTAACCAACAACGGATTGCGTGTGAGATGTGGTGTGTCGGCTGTGTGGTAACCAACGAGTCCGAAGGCCAAAACGCTCATGCGTTTCGGCCCTGCGTCTCCTCACCCAAAGGATTGCCTGTGAGATGTGGTGCCGGATGTGTGGTAACCAACAACGGATTGCGTGTGAGATCTGGTGTGTCGGCTATGTGGTAACCAACAAGTCCGAAAGCCAAACCGCTGCGTTTCGGCCCTGCGTCTCCCCACCCAACGGATTGCCTGTGAGATTTGGTGTCGGCTGTGTGGTAACCAACAACGGATTGCGTGTGAGATGTGGTGTGTCGGCTACGTGGTAACCAACAAGTCCGAAGGCCAAACCGCTGCGTTTCGGCCTTGCGTCTCCTCACCCACGGGATTGCGTGTGAAATGTGGTGTCGGCTGTGTGGTCACCAACAACGGATTGCGTGTGAGATGTGGTGTGTCGGCTATGTGGTAACCAACAGGTCCGAAGGCCAAAACGCTGTGTTTCGGCCCTGCGTCTCCTCACCCAACGGATTGCCTGTGAGATGTGGTGTCGGCTGTGTGGTAACTAACAACGGATTGCGTGTGAAATGTGGTGTGTCGGCTGTGTGGTAACCAACAACGGATTGCGTGTGAGATGTGGTGTGTCGGCTACGTGGTCACCAACAAGTCCGAAGGCCAAACCGCTGCGTTTCGGCCTTGCGTCTCCTCACCCGACGGATTGCCTGCGAGATGTGGTGTCGGCAGTGTGGTAACCAACAACGGATTGCGTGTAAGATGTGGTGTGTCGGCTGTGTGGTAACCAGCGAATCCGAAGGCCAAAACGCTCAGTGCGTTTCGGCCCTGCGTCTCCTCACCCAACGGGTTGCCTGTGAGATGTGATGCCGGCTGTGTGGTAACCAACAACGGATTGCGTGTGAGATGTGGTGTGTCGGCTATGTGGTAACCAACAGGTCCGAAAACCAAAACGCACCGTTTCGGTTTTGCGTCTCCTCACCCAACGGATTGCCTGTGAGATGTGGTGTCGGCTGTGTGGTAACCAACAACGGATTGCGTGTGAGATGTCGTGTGTCGGCTGTGTGGTAACCAACGAGTCCGAAGGCAAAAACGCTCAGTCCGTTCCGGCCCTGCGTCTCCTCACCCAACGGGTTGCCTGTGAGATGTGGTGCCGGCTGTGTGGTAACCAACACGTCCGAAAACCAAAACGCAGCGTTTCGGATTTGCGTCTCCTCACCCAACGGATTGCCTGTGAGATGTGGTGTCGGCTGTGTGGTAACCAACAACGGATTGCGTGTGAGATGTGGTGTGTCGGCTATGTGGTAACCAACAAGTCCGAAAACCAAAACGCTGCGTTTCGGCGCTGCGTCTCCTCACCCAACGGATTGCCTGTGAGATGTGGTGTCGGCTGTGTGGTAACCAACAACGGATTGCGTGTGAGATGTGGTGTGTCGGCTGTGTGGTAACCAACGAGTCCGAAGGCCAAAACGCTCATCCCCAATACGAAAGTTTTTCCTCTTGGGCACGGAACGACGGTGTGAAGTTTTGAGCAGACCCGTATGGCATAACCGCCGTCGGATATCATGAAGCTCGCGCGGATCCAAATGTGGTTTTGGTGTTTGTTTCGGTGGATCCGATTTCCGTCCGTACGGATACGATTTCGGATTAGCTGGATCCATGTCAGGTCTTAATTTTAACGGCGGATCCGATTTCTACCATGTTTTAATTTTATATTACTAAATGGAACCAGGGAGCTGGAAAAAATCGGTTCCGCGGACCCCGCAAACCACCCGTGTAAAGATTCTATGGGGGAGGGGGGGTTCGGTCATCGATTTTCCACGATGGGCCTTGCGTCGTCTCGCGCACTCCCATCAACTCCCCGCGCGAGCGCGCCCCATTCAACATGAATACATACATACATCCCCCCCCAGTTGCTGCAAACAGCTCGTCTGGTCGCCGTCCGTTCGGCGGCGCCGACGTTGTCTCGCGAACTCCTCATGGCCACTTTCACCTCAAGAGGAAAATCTTTCTGCGTCTTCTCACCCAACGGACTGCCTGTGAGATGTGGTGTCGGCTGTGTGGTAACCAACAACGGATTGCGTGTGAGATGTGGTGTGTCGGCTATGTGGTAACCAACAAGTCCGAAGGCCAAAACGCTGCGTTTCGGCCCTGCGTTTCCTCACCCAACGGATTGCCTGTGAGATGTGGTGTCGGCTGTGTGGTAACTAACAACGGATTGCGTGTGAAATGTGGTGTGTCGGCTATGTGGTAACCAACAAGTCCGAAGGCCAAAACGCTGCTTTTCGGCCCTGCGTCTCCTCACCCAACTGATTGCCTGTGGGATGTGGTGTCGGCTGTGTGGTAACCAACAAGGGATTGCGTGTGAGATGTGGTGTGTCAACTATGTGGTAACCAACAAGTCCGAAGGCCAAAACGCTGCGTTGTGCCCTGCGTCTCCTCACCCAACGGATTGCCTGTGAGATGTGGTGTCGGCTGTGTGGTAACCAACAACGGATTGCGTGTGAGATGTGGTGTGTCGGCTATGTGGTAACCAACAAGTCCGAAGGCCAAAACGCTGCGTTTCGGCCTTGCGTCTCCTCACCCAACGGATTGCCTGTGAAATGTGGTGTCGGCAATGTGGTAACCAATAAAGATGTGGTAACCAACGAGTCCGAAGGCCAAAACGCTCAGTGCGCTTCGGCCCTGTGTCTCCTCACCCAACGGATTGCCTGTGAGATGTGGTGTCGGCTGTGTGGTAACCAACAACGGATTGCGTGTGAGATGTGGTGTGTCGGCTGTGTGGTAACCAACGAGTCCGAAGGCCAAAACGCTCATGCGTTTCGGCCCTGCGTCTCCTCACCCAAAGGATTGCCTGTGAGATGTGGTGCCGGATGTGTGGTAACCAACAACGGATTGCGTGTGAGATCTGGTGTGTCGGCTATGTGGTAACCAACAAGTCCGAAAGCCAAACCGCTGCGTTTCGGCCCTGCGTCTCCCCACCCAACGGATTGCCTGTGAGATTTGGTGTCGGCTGTGTGGTAACCAACAACGGATTGCGTGTGAGATGTGGTGTGTCGGCTATGTGGTAACCAACAAGTCCGAAGGCCAAAACGCTGCGTTTCGGCCTTGCGTCTCCTCACCCAACGGATTGCCTGTGAGATGTGGTGTCGGCAATGTGGTAACCAATAACGGCTTGCGTGTGAGATGTGGTGTGCCGGCTCTGTGGTAACCAACAAGTCCGAAGGCCAAAACGCTGCGTTTCGGCCTCGCGTCTGCTCACCTAACGGATCTTGTGGGATGTGGTGTCGGCTGTGTGATAACCAACAACGGATTGCGTGTGAGATGTGGTGTGTCGGCTGTGTGGTAACCAACGAGTCCGAAGGCCAAAACGCTCATCCCCAAGACGAACGTTTTTTCCTCTTGGGCCCGGAACGACGGTGTGAAGTCTTGAACAGACCCGTATGAGATCACCGCCGTCGGATCTCACGAAACTCGCGCGGATCCAAATGTGGTTTTGGTGTTTGTTTCGGTGGATCCGATTTCCGTCCGCACGGATCCGATTTCGGATTAGCTGGATCCATGTCCGGTCTTTTTTTTTACGGCGGATCCGCTTTCTACCATGTTTTTAATTTTATATTATTAAATTAAACCAGGGAGCCGGAAGAAATCGGATCCGCGGACCCCGCAAACCGCCCGTGTTAAGATTCTATGGGGAAGGGGGTTCGGTCATCAATTTTCCACGATGGGCCCTGCGTCGTCTCGCGCACCCCCATCAACTCCCCGCGCGAGCGGGCCCCATTCAACATGAATACATACATACATCCCCCCCCCAGTTGCTGCAAACAGCTCGTCTGGTCGCCGTCCGTTCGGCGGCGCCGACGTTGTCTCGCGAACTCCTCATGGCCATTTTCACCTCAAGAGGAAAATCTTTCGTCCTGCGTAAGTATATATATATAGAGGTATATACACACATGTGCCCGTATGTGAACATATGTAGATATATGTTAATGGCTGTACAGACACATGTGTGTATGTGTGTATGTATGTATGTATGTATGTATATATATATATATATATATATATATATATATATGTCGCCGCCGCGCCGCGGTCGCCGTGACGGCCGAGCAGCCGTCCCCCACCCCGCGCTCTGGAGTGACGTATGCTCATCGTGGCCGCCGCTGTCACGTCGCAGTGTGGTCGCGACGGCCGCGCGCGCAGCCGCCTTGACCGTCCCCGCCGCGCGCTCTGGAGCGATGTACCCTCGTCGTCGCCAACGCCGTCGCGCCGCGGTCCCCGTGGCGGCCGCGCAGCCGGAGCATATATACGGGCGCAGCACCGGGCTGGATGCGAAGCCTTCGGCTGGGCAGGGCAGGGCCCCTTGGCTTAAAACTGCCAGCGAAATATCCTCACCGCCCTGACATAAAACTGCCAGCGGAGTATCCTCACACCCTTCGCTGAATACTGCCAGTGACATACCCTCACGCCCCTGGCCTAAAACTGCCAGCGAGGCATCCGTACCGCCCTCGCTTTAAACTGCCCGCGAAACATCCCTACGCTCCTGGCCTAAAACTGCCAGCGAAATATCCCCACAGCCCTCGCTTACAACTGCCAGCGAAATTGTCCCCACACCCCTCGCGCAAGAGTGCTCACCGCCCTCGCTTGAATCTGCCAGTGAGATATCCTCACACACCCCTCGCTTGAATCTGCCAGTGAGATATCCTCACCGCCCTCGCTTCCAACGGGTTCTGTACGGGTTGGAATCATGTATGCTTCTTCAGGCAGACCGGGACCGGCTCGACGGTTTCCAAGCGAGGTGCTTACGCCAAATCTTCAAAATCTGCCCTTCTTACGTTTCTCGCGTGAGCAACTCTGAAGTTCGAGAGCGCGCAGAAGCCCGGCCGTTAACTGCAATACTACTGGAACGACAGCTCAAACTATATGGCATTATCGCCCAGAAGAGCGCCACCAGCTTACCAAGAGCCATGGTTTTCGAAAGTGGTCCTATGAATACCGTCTTGCCTCGGAAGTGGAACGTGCCCCGGTCGAGAGGGAGGCCTCGTCTGCAATGGGCAAACTATCTGCGCGCTGAGGCTGTGTCTGTGGCGCACGATGACCCAGACACATTACAGACGCTGCTGCAAAATCCTTCAGAAAGGCGTGAGGCAATGCGTCGTCAGGGCGCGGCTTTGTTCGTTCGTTCGTTCCTCGCTTCCAACTGCCAGCGAAATATCCTCACACCTCTCGCTTCCAACTGCCAGCGAAATATCCACTCGCCGCCCTCGCTCAAAACTATCAGCGAAATATCCTCACACCCCTCGCTTAAAAATGTCAGCGAACAATCCTCACAGCCCTGGCCTAAAACTGCCAGCGAAATATCCTCACCACCCTGAGTGAAAGCTGCCAGCGAATATCCTCGCCCCCTGGCCTAAGACTGCCAGCGAAATATCCTCAACTCCCTGACTTAACACTACCAACGAAACATCCTCACCGCCAGAAATAAACCTGCCATCTAACGGCTTTGGTTGTCAGTTCTGTCAGTCAGTCTGTCAGTCAGTCCGTCAATCAGCCGATCTACTTCCCGAACTTCGAATCACGGGCTGCGCCCGTGCAAAACGGTTGGCATCTCTTCGGGGTGCATCTTCTACCTCCGCCGCCTTCCGCCGGCCTCCCGCTGGTCTCCGCCGCAGAGGACGGCGTCGTTCTGCTTCCGCCGGCGTCCGCCGAGGAAGCGATGGCCATCCCTTCGCTCCTCGAGGGCGAGGCCCCTTCTGGAGCGCTCCACTTGAGGCTGCAGGGCGACCTGCAGCTCTCCGCTGCAGTTAGGTCGGGCGTGTCCTCCGACAGGCGGATTTTGGACGAACGGTAAAAGCTTGCCAAAACAAATGCTCCAACATACTGAACAAATCGTCCTCCAAGTATTTTTTGACTATTATTGAATACATTCCTCCAACTATTTTTTGACTATTATTGAATACATTCCTCCAACATACTGAACAAATCGTCCTCCAAGTATTTTTGACTATTATTGAATACATTCCTCCAACTATTTTTTGACTATTATTGAATACATTCCTCCAACATACTGAACAAATCGTCCTCCAACTATTTTTTGACTATTATTGAATACATTCCTCCTGTAGAGGGACAGGCCCGACTTAAAGCTCTCTGCTGCATCCAGGCGGCACGGGACGACGCGGGCGCCCGCGGCGGCCCCCCCGCGAGGTGCAGCGCGCGCCCCGCCCGCCCAGGCGCCGCGGGATGCGGAGCCTCGGGTCGTCTCTGAGGTCCTCCTCCTTCCGGTGCCGCGCGCGGCTCTGCTCGTGGACGAGGCGGATCTTCTCGATGCGGTCGAGCATGTCGGAGATCCTCCGGTCGACCTGCGGCCAGGCGGTGCTTTTTGGTCAACTCCGGGGGCTCGGGGGGCGAGGGAGGGGGGGTGGGCTCGTCCCCGCGGGGGGGTGTCCGTCCCGAGGTCCTGGTCGGGACGCGCTCGGGGGCGGGGGGGGTGCGGCGGAGGCCGATCTGGGGAGACGAGTGTGGGTCCGCCGAGGCACGGGCCATCTGGTCGGTGCCCCAATACTCCCTGGGTTGTCGAGTCATCGTTTCATCCCCGCTGCGACGTGCGTTTTTGCGCCGAGCGGACTTCAGGATCTGGGCTTGCAGCGTTCCGCAAGCGCTGCTCCATCCTCCCTCCCCCCCTATCCCCCTCCCACTCCCCCTCCTCTTCCCCCTGCCCCCTTACCCCTCCTCCTCCCCCTCCCCCTTATCCCTCCTCCTCCCCCTCCCCCTCCCCTTATCCCTCCTCCTCCCCCCTCGCCCTCCTCCTCCCCGTCCCTCCTCCCTCCCCCCTTATCCCTCCTCCTCCCCCTCTGCCCGCCGCTGCTACACTGCCTGCTGCACTGCCTGCCGCCTCTACCGCCTCTGCCCCTGCCTCGGGCCCACGTCGGGGCTGCTTTCTAGGCCCGCCTCGCGGGGGCGGCGCCTGCCGGGACCCCCAACGAGCTCGCGGGCACCGAGGGAAGTCCAGCACCCAGCTCGTGCCGCGCATCGCCCTGGGCACTTCGGAGCCGTGCCCCGTCGGCCGTGCTCGCCAGGGCTGGACCCAAACGTTGCTTTTCGTTTTGCTCTCGGTTTGCTTTTCGTTGTACTTTCCTGCCGAAGCGAAAAACAAAACACAGCCGAAGTCCAGCAAAGCAGCGTTTGGGTCCAGCCCTGTTGCTCGCTGGACGGGCCGAGGCCGCGCGGAGAGGCGGATCGGGCCTCCTCCGTCCTGATCTTGTCCACCTGCGGCAAGATCTCGAGGTCCTCGGGCCCCCTCCCGCTGTCCTCTCGCAGCTCTCCTGGGCACCTGCGATCGACGCCTCTGTGCCCCCCTCTCCACGCGGATGTGTCCATCATGCCAGATGTTCGTCAGCGCGCCTCGACACGGCGAGGGTGAACCAGATCCCTTGCGCTTCTGTCACAGCGTGCACTGGCAATCGCGGAGCAAGGGTCATCGCCCCCAACAAAGCAATGCACATGCGGCTTCTATTTTTGCGCACGGGCCTCCCCACGCACCTGCGCCCTACGGGACGCATGCAACCAACCTGCCCGGCGGCGGTCCGCTGAGTCCTCTGCATTCCCCTTCTGCGGGGCCCCCCATTCGAGCAAGACCAACCCCAAATGGCACTGGAGCGGTCCAAAGGCCCATGATGGCCGCATGAGTGGCCCAAGACCAGCCCAAGGCCCAAGATTGCTCAATAACGACCCAAGATGTCTACTAGAAGGCCTGAGACGGCCCAAGGAAGGCCTCAATACAACCGAAGCGCCCCTCAGGCCTGCCAGCCGCCCACCCGTCCTCAGTAGCCCATCCAAGAGCAACGCGAGCCCCACACACTCCGCAAGGTGTGCCAGCGACGATCGTCCGTTGACCCAACGCAACCACATGCATGATTCATGTGCATGTGAACCTGGGCCTCCGATGCCGGCGCTTACTTCTGCAATGCTTGACCCCTGACCTCTGGAAGCATTCACGGAGGCCGGCTTCTCCTCTAAAATCAGTATTTGACGACCCCAGAGCCCGCGCACGGCCCGGGAACTCCAGAGCTGACGAACAACAGCAGTCTTGTGTTTGCTGAAGGCGTCTGAGGTCTGGTGGGCACATTGACACAAATCGCACTGCTTTCAACCAATATTGCCCAGACGCTGTCTACAGGCAGCATTGGCCGGCCTTCAGGGGAGCCTCGAGGCCCCCAAGACGGCCCCAAGGCTGTCAAACGCTCCATGGAGGCACCAGTGCTGTCTGAAAGTCGCCAGACACCACCCCGCGACGGCCTCGAGACGAGCATAGGCACTCAGTGGAGTGTCCTCGGGCCCTCTCGAGCTCTCGGTACTGAAGAGTCAGTTACCGAGTTTTGGGCGACGTTCCTGGGCTTGTCGGATCACCTTTCCGAGGCCTCGGGGGCGTGGGTCACACTCCAATGATCCAACATGTCCCAAGATGGTCATATGGGGCCGTCCTGGGGCTCTCTTTTGCGGGCCTCTCCTGTAAGCCTTGTTGGTCGATCCAAGAAACCCAACTCATTGAAATAGACGTGTTCTAATGCTATGTTGGCACACTCGTTTTTTGCTCGGTCTTACGAGCATCCACTAAGGCACAAGAGGCCATTACCGCCACCCAGAGAAAGCCCCAGAACTCCCACAGGGCGTCCAAGAGATCTGGAAAAATGGCCCCTAAGAGAATATCATCGAAGCGGAAATTGGAGCGCTCCGCCCCAGGATGGCCCCAAGACCGCAGGGCCCCCAAGAAGTGGGGGGGGGTCGCAAATCATGACCACAGACACGCGCGCGGAAAAAAAGGGTAGGACCAGGGCAGTATTGAAACAAAAAGAGGGTGACCACGACATTCAGGGAGAAATCATGGCCTTGGCTATGATATCAACCCTGGCCCCCCCCTCCAGTCATCCCACTCCCATCACTCGAATGAGCTGTGCTAACAGGACGAGCGCGTAGTAGGGCATGTGTTGGCACTCGTACACCCCAGATCATAATATCACCCATGCGATGTATCACTAGTTCATGCATGGCAGGTCTATCCAGGGCAAGCATGTAGGTTCGTAAACATAACGGCAAGGAGAGCCTTGAATTTAAGACGTGTGACAGCATGAGGGAGGGCACGAGCGACGCGCTCCTGAATGCGAATAAAACGCATACTTTTACAACGTGGAGGAGTGTGGCTGCGGAGCACTTGGGGCAATCGGTGAAACTCGTGACAAAGAGCCCGCACGTGCAAATATTCAGAAAAAAAACTGGCGTATATTTCCACTGCGGCTGGGATCGACACTCGCGGTACTCTACACAACCAAGCGTTGCTTCTCCGAGCCCGCGGGGCGCGCGCCGACAACGCGCCCCCCGACCGTCGGCTTGAGGAGGAGCAGGAGGAAGCAAATAGAGCACCGTTTAACCCCCTACCCCCATCCGTTGGACTGGGAAACTATCACACAAGTTTCAATCCGCGGCTCCTTCTCCTGAGCCCTTGAGCCAAAACCGCTTGAGCCAACAGAGGGTGCGATTGAAAATAACGTGGAGACTATGGACATCGGGAAAACGGTTACTTGCCAGGTTAACCAACAAATCCCACCAGCCCTCTGGGCTCAGGTGTTCAAAGGGTGTCCCTTCCCTCTTCCCAATCGGAGAAGGGTTGACCCCATCCCACCGGTCTGGACGGGAGGGGGGCGATCAGCCAGAGCGCCCAAGATGGCTCAAGAGGGCCTCCGTTGCTCCAAGTTGGCCTGCAAGCTGGCTCAAGGTAGCTGAGGATAGTTCAGTATCAATCTGGCCTCCATAATTTATCAAAACGGCCCCAAGAGCGCAATCAGATGGTTCCACATTTTCCTGGAGACCTCACGGACCCCCAAGAGGCCCAAATTACCGATGGAAGATCAATGATTGTTGCTTCTCGTCTTTTCGCTTCACGCGGGCTGCTGAGGCCTCACCATGGCCCCGAGAAAATCCAAGAGAGGCCCAACAAAAAACTCCCCAAACCGCCCGAAACGCACCCAAAGAAACGATTTTCATAGCTCATAGCCCCTGAGGGGGGAAGCAAATCTGGGACCCTCCCTCCTTTGACCGACGCCCTACACGATGGCCCCCCCAGGGCTCCCAAACAGCCCTCAACAGGGCTCCCAGAGGGACCCGAAAGAGCCCCAAGGCACTTCAAAAAAGGACACTGAACCTTCAACGAGGGCTCCATGAGGGCCCCAAGAGGACCCAGAAAACACCTCTCGAGAAAAACCGCAGACTCCAAGACGGCTCCAAGAGATTTCATCCTCGTTGTCCTTCTCCTCCACGTCTTGGATTCCCTCGTCATTGTCCTCGTCCTGGTCTTCGTCGTCGTCGTCCTCCTCCGCATCCTTGTCGTCCTCCTCCTCCTCCGCCTCCTCATTCTACTCCTGATCGTCCTCGTCCTCATCCTCTTTCTTGCCTTGGTCATCGTCCTCCTCGTTCGCCTCCTCCTCCTCCTCCTCCTCCTCCTCCTCCTCCTCCTCCTCCCCCTCCTCCCTCTCCATCACCTCGCTGTCCCCACGAGGGCCCCGAGAGAGCCCCAAGAAGACCCCAGGGTACCACGAAAACCCAAAACGTGGATCCTGCGGAGCGGCTCTTCCACTGCAGGCCTCTGAACTTCCTTGAGCAAAGGCAGGCCGTCTCGCGATCGCTTCCGGAGGGGCTGCTGGGGACCACTCGCAGCGTCAATCATGCGTCTCTCACCTCACTAGAGGTCAGAACCCCGCCCCCACAAGAACCACCCCGACACGCGAAGCCGTTTGGCAAACGCGCCCAAAGAAGGAATCGAACAGGGCAGGGCTGTTTAGTAAACGCCCAAGGCCGTTTGGCAAACGCCAACTGTCCGGTCCAGGTGGCTTTTCCTCCCTTGACTCACAGGCGCTATAGATCTGAACGGCGAGCAGGCACCGAGGGGGGGACGGAGCGGCGCGCATCTGAATGGTCGGGTGCACGCGGGGACAGGCTGCACAGGAAAGCGGCTGGAGAACCCGCGATGTCGACTTACCTCGGGGCTGATTGATCATAGCTTTAAGTCTGGTGCGTCCCTCTGCAGGAGGAATATTCAAAAATAGTCAAAAATTCGCCGGCCCAACGGGCCAGAGGCGTGCTAAGATCTCCGGTAACTGGTTAAGAATTCTCTAGTTCGCGCGCGCGGGGCGGCCCCTGGGGGTCCCCGGACGAAAAGTACCCCGGCAAGGTCCTGAGAGAGTCCCGGGAGGAGTCCCCCAGAGCGCTCCAGGAGCGCTCCATGAGCGCACCAACAGGGCTCCGAGACGTCCCCGAGAGCCCCAAGAAAGGCCAAGAGGCCCCCAAGAGGCCCCCAAGATGGTACACGAGGGGTCCGACATGCCACAAGATCGCTCCAAGACGCCCAAGATAGCCCCCAGACGCCCCAAGAGGCCTCCCAGAGCACTCCCAAGAGGGCCCCCGGAGGCAAAATTCATTGTTTTTCCTTAGGTTTTTGAGAGATTTTGGAGCTTCCACCTTTTCGGTTCCCGACGCCCCAAGACGGCCCCAGAGGCCCCCAAGATCGCCCCAAGAGGGCCCAAGAGGCCCCCAAGAGGGCCCCAAGATGGCCCAAGAGGGCTCGAAGACGGCCCAAGAAGCCTCCAAGACGGTCCAAGAGGGCCCCAAGAACACCCCCAAAGGGGCCCCAGAGAGGGAACACGAAACAAAATTTCGCGCCCTCGGCCCTAAGAAGCCCCTACGAGGCCCCAAGAGGCCCCTAAGAGGCCCCAAGAGGCCCCCACGAGGCCCTCAGGAGGCCCCCAAGAGTCCCCCAAGCGGCCCCAGGAGGCCCCCCAAATGCCCCCCCGAGCGCCCCAGGAGTCCCCCAAGCGGCCCCAGGAACCCCCAAAGCGCCGCATTGACACCAGGCCCTCGGGCAAACGGCAGACATGAGACCGTATGGGCCGGCGGAATGAGCGAAGCGATTCAATAATCCGGGGACGATTTTTTGGAGAATTTGTTTGACAATGTTTGAATATGTGTTTTATTATTTGTTCGTCCAAAATCCCCCTGCAGGGGAACATGCCCGACCTAATCATAGCTCGCTGGTTGTCCCGGACCTCCTGTCAAATTCGTTGCGATCGTCTTATATTTTCTGTACGCTTTCGTTCTAGCATTCTGCTAGCGTCCAGGGGTCAAACCTCGGACCTGCCGCGGAGCGCGCTCTGACCAGAATGGCTGCGTGTTTGGCACGGGGACCTCCATATGCGCATCTCAGTTCTTGACACTCTCATCTGGAAGTGTCTGGGTGAGATAGTCCTAGCCTGTTGCGACTGAGCGCTCCCTGGAGGCTCCTCCATGGGGTGCCCAAGTGCTACGCCTGCAATATCACGATGATCTTCGGGCTCCGAAAACATAGGAGTCTGGGCCACGAAACGGGCAAGCCGCCTGAGACATCCCCACAGTCTGGTCGCGAAACAAGCGCCTGGCTCGAGGCATCCTCACGATCTGCTCTGCAAACCTCGGAGCCTGGGTCACAGCACGAACACATCGCCTGAGACGTCCCCACAATCTGGCCGCGAACGGGCGAGTGTACCACCCCCTGCCCCCCACTCCTCCCCTCTGGGGGTGCTTCTGCTAGCGTCTCGCCCGGGACATCCTCACGACCTGCTCGGAAAGCAAGAGGAGTCTCAACCACGAAACGCGCAAACCGCCCGAGACATGCCCACAATCTGGGCGCGAAAGGGCGAGTGATCCCCCCCCCCCCTGGCGGCTCCCCCGTGGGGCGCCCAAATGCCACGCCCGCTGCGCATGCCGCGGTGATCACGGGGCGTTTGAACAAAAAACGCCTCGGGGCAACACGCGCGCGCAAACCGCTCGAGACACCCCCGCAATCTGGGCGCGAACGGGCGAACGTAACACCCCCTTGGCGCCTCCCCGTCGGGTGCCCACATGCCACCCCCTGCCGTGTCGCGGTGGGCGTGGTGCTCTCCAACGAGTGGAGTCTGGTGGGGGGTGGGGGGGCACAACCAGGCAAACCGCCTGAGACATTCGAGGGTGTGAAGAGAGGTGGGGAACGGGCGGGTGAGGAGGCGGAGGCGCTCCAGCAACAGCACGTCGGCGCCAGCTCCTGACACCGCGGGCATCGTCCAAACCTGGAAGACCCTGGCTTGCCAACATCGCAGAGCTTCCGACACACTCGTGGCAGCAGCATGGGGGCCCGTCGAGGTCGGAGCAGCGGCGGGCCGCGCGGTATATATAGAGAGAGAGAGAGAGAGAACTCGGCCTGCACGCGTGGTCGGCTCAGGAGGCGGAGCGGCCGTGGAGGGAGCAGAGGAGGAGGAGGAGGAGCAGGCTCGCTGAGACGGCGTACGTCCTCCTGCGCGGCGGCATCGCCTCCGAGGGGCCACATGTGTCCACCTCCACCGCCCGCCGAGGCCCCCGAAGCTCGAGGCCCCAGGCGGTGGCTGTATTTAGAAGAAGAAAGCGAAACGCGTAGACATAAACTCTCGACGGTCCGGCGCCGCCCGGGGGCCCCAGCGCGGATCCGAGAGACCCGCGCGGAGCGCCGACAGTTTATGTTTACGCGTTTCTTTCTTCTTCGATGTACAGTGCGGGCGCGGCCGCAAGAAACCCTCGCGAGAAACCCAACCCTGAAAACCCGCGCGCGAGGTACAACTGAGGGAAAACCCGGAGCACCCTGAACGCAGCAGCTCTTTCAACGGCTGCGGGAAGTCACCGCGTAGCGCGAGGAGCGCCAGGATACCCTGACGAAAAGCAGATGGTTTCTTGATGCGCGTCCCCACTGCATGGGCAGATCCCCGCCTCGGATGCGATGCAGGGCCGACCCCAAGCTGCGGGGCGCAACCGCCCCCGAGAGCGCGCGCGCACCGGGCTCGCCGCCGCGCCTGCGGCGCGCAGGCCGCGCGCGGCAGGGCGCCTCGCTCCACGCGCCCCCAGGCGGAGCGGAGGCCCGAGCGGAGGTCGGGCGCGCTCCCCTACAGGCGGATTCGGGGAGAAAACTTAAGCATAGGCAAAACATAGTCAAACATAAACAAGAACAGAGGGAATTAGCATCCCCAGGCTATGTTTTTACTATCTCTGAGTACTCCTCCTGTAGAGGGACGCGCCCGACTTGGGCCCGAGCTCGACGGGCACGCCGCCCCGCGCCGCCGCCGCCGCGCGCCGCCCCCCGCCGCCGCACGGCAGTGCTTCTCGTCGAGACATGGCCACGAGGAGTCGGGTCAAGAAGATGAGCCCCTCTGGGTGGCCACGTGTGAACCCTACCCCCACCCCTTAGGATTTCTGAGAGGGTGGGGCTCAGTGCGCGCGAAAGCTCCCGAGCGAAGTCAACCCCCACACGCCCTTGGAAATCGTGGGGGGTGGGAGTAGGGCTCACATGTGGCCGCCGACCCTTGCCGAAGGCCCAAGTCCCGTGGAGGTACCCCAGAGGAGGAACACTCCAAGGCGGAAAGCCCAAACGCGAAAACCATCGGGATACCCGTCCAACACATGGCCGGTTCTTAAGCTCCGTGCCTGTTGGAGCGTCGACATCTCCTTTGTCTACCTCTCCAGCCAATCGGGATCCGTGAGATAAGCCGGGCAGCAGCGAGGCTCGAGCGGCGCCGGCGTGAGCAGCCAACACAAGGGCAGATCGCGAGGCGACCACACGCGTGGCGGAAACTGGCCTCGGCATCGCCGGCCTCGGCAGGCTCGGCCCCCGACTCGTCGCGCGCGCCGCTGTTGCCCCGCTGGCCCGCCTGCCCCGTCCCCTCGTTGGAGTCGTCTATCTGCGTGGTGATCAGGTAGTTGAAGTTGCAACCTAGGAGCTTCGCGACCTCCGGCCATAGCATGTACGAGAGCCGGGATTAAAAAAGTGGCGGGAAGGGAGCTGAGGGTGGTTGGCGCGGATGATCTCTCGAGAGTTCGGGGAAGAAGGAGCGGGAGGAAGGTAAGGAGAGACGGCGAATGGGGAAAGAAGGACGGGGATGATGAAGGGTAGAACGGTGTAGAATAGGATGAGAGGCCCGACAATCATAGGAGAACCGAATCTAGTCCTGGCTCATGATTGCCTCTGGTTATATATTTACATGTGTACATAATACACACATGCAAATTCAACGTTCCTCGTAAGCGAACGAATCAGCTTCTGGGTTGGGAGATGCCTCCAACAGGGATGGGGCCGCTGGGCGCTTGAGGGCCGAGGAGGAGGCTGCTCCAGAGGAGCACCGGCAACACGTCAACAGTAGCTGCCTCTGACCGTTGTGTGGGAGTGTCTGCGGGGGTATTGTCAGCAAGCTCATGGACAACCTTGGGAACTTGGGCACCAGCGACGAGGCCGTGCGCTTATGTGCAGGAAGTCGGGGACCCAGCCCTTGGAGCCAGGGAGGGAGGTCATATGCGAGTGAAGGGATGGACGGGAGGAACAGGAGGGAAGGGGAGGGAGACTCGAATCCGAATGGAAAGGAGGGATGGGGTGAAAAGATGCTTGGAGCAGAAGAGAGGTAGGCGAGGGTAGGAGAGCGAAAAGAGAGGGTAGGGGTACGGGAGGGCAGGAGAGGGGGAGTCGGAGAGTGAAGACGGCAGTGGAGAGGTGGGTGGAGGGGAGCAAGGGGAATGGACGGGATGGGGAGGGGGGGGAGGAGGCTGGGAGAGGGGGAGGGCAACGAACCGAGGGAAGTCTCGGGAGGTTAGTGGGAAGAAGGAGGGGCAAGCAGAATCGCTCCGACTTGTTCTACCCACCGCCGCATGCTCTTGCAGGCATGGGACCCTGCGAGCGCCAGCCCAACCGCAACTGGCAAACGCAAATTGACAAAGACAGTACGTGCACAACGGTGTGCACAAATCACCACAGTCACTACACGGTGCACAATCTACACTGTGCACCAATATCCTGCACAGACTTCTCGGAGGCCCACCGCGTCACCCCGAGGGCCTTCGGCCTGACCCCAACTCGACCATGTGGCGCCACCTCTAAGACCGCAGGGGAATGAAACGAAACACTGAAGATCGACTCCACTGAACACCTCAACAATGTTTGGGTGACCAGGAATTGACACGGGCGGGGTCCCTGAAATCTTGGGAGGGGGGTGGGCCGCAATGCAACGGGGGGGCTCCTGGAATCCGGCGCCGACTTCAGCCGCGTTGTGCGCCACAGACACTCTCAGGACGACTCGGCCAGGCCCCCAGGTTGCAGTGGCACATGTAAGACCGAGAGGGGGTCCTGTAGTCCAGAGGGGGGGGGAGCCGTGCAGTCCAGGGAGGAATCTTGCCATCGAGAGGAGGGGGCCTGGTACGCTGCATTGGAGGGGCGGTTTGTAGTCTGGGGCGCCCCTCGAGGCAGGGGCCCCCAAATTAACCTAGGCACCCGGAACACAATGGAGAAACCTGGGGCACACTACCACGGGGCTCGAACAAGCTGCGGCGCGCTATCCATGACGAGGGCCAAGGAGCATACCAAAAAACGATCCCTGCACCTCTTGCTTCGAACTCCCTTGCTTGTTTAGGGCCGCAAGGCCGATCCAGGAAACCGGGGCGATCTCGAGATTTCCTGGTGGGCGGAACAATGTCAACAATACACCTAGAACACAACTCCGGGCGAGGCACGGCTGATTTGACAGGCCCCTGGGCAGCCCCCGTCCGAAGACAGCCTGTAAGGGACTGTGGAAAAGGCCCGGGAGCGCCACGAACGACTGCCCCCAACGCTCTCGGAATGTTGCTGTGGCACCTCCCAGCGGCGAGTGTCAAACTTCGGCAAGACCCCTCGCATGGCGGCATCAGCGTGATGCCGCCGTGCGACATCCGAGGCAGGGCCGATATGCTGCAGGGCCGCGTGCCAGCCGCCAGCCTGCTGCAGGGCCGGCCTGAACCAGGCGGCCCAACCGATGCAAGGCCTCCCCCAACCCCTCGCCGCTCCAGAGGCCGCTCGCTGCGTGCGTCTGGTTGCGCAGCTGGCCTCCAGGGTGGCGCAGCGAGTTAAGATGATCCAGTCGATCGGCGGTTGGGAGCTGGCACGCCCGAAAGGGGCACGGGAAAAGTGCGCACGATGCCCAACAGCATATGCTGTCCAAAATCAACAGCAGCCAATGCTTAGTAGGCGACTTCTTTCTCGGGTGAACAGTGTCTGAGGCGACGCCCACAGCGAGTCCTGCTCAAAATGAATGTGAATTGCTATTGGTCTTCATCCGCAACTGGTTTTTCCGTACCCGTGTCGATCGTGCTGAGGGAGGAAAACGGCGAGTTGTTCTCCCCTGGGAAATCAGCTGCGGTCTCGGCTCGCGTCGAACTTGGGGGCGAGGCGAAGGGAAGAAACCCAATCGCATATAGAGATTCTTTACACTTGGGAAAACGCGTTTCATGGGCACCTGGCTGACATATCCGCCGACCCCTTCGGCGTATGTGGGACACTGTCGTCGTCTTCGTCTTCGTCTTCGTCTTCGTCTTCGTCTTCGTCTTCGTCTTCGTTTCCGTCTTCGTCTTCGTCTTCGTCGTCGTCAACTTCGTCGTCAACGTCGTCGTCGAACTCGTCGCCGTCGTCGCGCCGCCAGCCCCAAGAGAAGCGAGGAACTAACAGAGAAAGGTGCTGTGATTACGTCGATTCCCTTCCCTATCTCCCCTCCCTGACCCGGAGGGAGGAGGAGGAGGAGGAGGAGGAGGAGGAGGAGAGGGAGGAGGAGGAGGAGGAGGAGGAGGAGGAGGGGGGCGGGGAGAGGGGGCGGGGTACAGGGGGTGTACCGGGGGAGGGGCTCCTGGTTCCCGCGAGCCCAGAGGTGTGGCCCCACCCTCGAGCTCCCCGTGCTGTGCACGGCGCGGACTATTCAGGAGAGCGTTTGCATAGTTTCGCGACAGCAGAAGTTGCCGGCCCCGCCCAGGCCCCCCCCCGGTAACGTCGCGATTCGTGCCGGCGCCGTCTGGATAGACCTAGGAACGCCAATCAAACACGAATACCACATCCCTACTCGGATCGTCCGTGGCAGAAGATGCGTCATGCTATGGATGTGCAGAGACCTGCGAATAATAGCTACGGGTAGCTGAGCGCAACGACGGGAATTGCTGAGGATCAAATATGGTGTTGCTCCTTCCTGTCTCTGGCCCACTCCTCCTCTCTCTCCTCCTCTTCTCGTCCTCCTCGCCCCCCTCATGTGAGGTGCTTCGCACAAGGACATACGAATGAAGGAGAGCATGGAAGGGAAATGAAGGGCGAGGCAGGCGGGGCAAGGCCGAAGCGACCTGTTCGATGACACGTATGTTATCGGTTCGTGCTCTGGGAGGGGTCTGGGGCCCCCTCGGCCCGAGGGGCAAAGTGGCCTCGTCGTCGTCGTCGTCCGCCCATTCCTCTTCCTCTCGGTGGCGAGCGAGGAGGGGAAGTGAGAAGGGGCGGGCCGTCTCAGAAGGCTCGGAAGTCCCCAGGCCCTCTTGAGAAGATTTTGAAGCCTTCCCCGAAGACACAAACAACTTCTCAGAAGGCGCGAGGACTTCTGAGAAGACCCGCCACCTTCTTAGAAGGCCTTCTCCTTCTCACTTCCCCCCCTCGCTCGCCGCCGATCTGGATGCTCATCCCCTTTGTCGTCCTGTTTTCCTTTATTGCATTGCACAGTGCGCCGCTACACAGCAGCCTGCGCATCAGATCGCTGGGGAACACTGGGGGCGTGCGAAATGGCGAAAGCCCATGAGATACGCGCGGGCCACCGACAGCACAGTGCATCATGTTTTCCCAACCATCCTGTGGTGTTGGGCCCTCCTTTTGAAAAGACAGCGCCCCGCGTTCAAATCCACCTCCTCCCCCTCCTTCCTCCTCCCATCTCCGAAATCTGCCATCCGGATGTCAACAATTTCGGCACACCCCTCGCACTTTCCGTGACCCCATAATCGAACCGAACCGAAGCGGAAACACTTCGGTACCTAACCGAAACCAGCCGAAACGGGCATCCCCGTCTAAGAACCCGCAGGCAAGCCTAACTGGGGAAAGGACATGCACTTTCGGAGATCCGCGCGGATCTTTGGGCGTCGGCGCTGGGCACCCCGTCCCCGGCGCGCGGAGCGCGCCAGGGGCGGTGCTGGAGACGCCACCATGAGGCGTCTAGCGCCGACCTGAACAGTCCACGAGGACCTCTGAAATGAAGGCTTTTCTGTGTTTTGTCGCTGGATCTTCTCGGGGATGGACAGAACCCCCTTTAGTAAAACACGGTTTGGTGACAACGACCTCGAGCCCAAACCTGGCGAGCGCAAGCCTGGAAAATGACGGCCGCGGCGCCCTCTCGAGAACCGAAAACGGACGATTCACCAATCGACGTCTTCCCTCTGCGAGGCCACGGCGAGGCGGGATCACGAGGGGGGGGGGGCGCGACTCGGCTCACGCAGCTGGCTTTCCCGTGGCCTCCCCTGCGCCAAAAAGGCGCCAGTGCATCGAGGCGGGCCATCCTGCGACGGGAGCCGCAAGCAGCTGCGTGCTGCAGCTTTCGCAGCACCCCCCGGTTCCCAATCCCTCCATGCTATGAGGAAAAGCCTGGAGGCCTTGCGCGGCAACTTGAGGCCCGATGTACTTCGGATCCACGTCGGACTTACGTCGGGTTCACGTCGGATTTACGTCGGGCTGACTCCGGAGCATCCCCGCGCGAGCGTCGACCCATAGCTTACGGAGCTGACGTTTATCGCGGGCGCCGAAACATGGATTAGCGATCCAAGGATTTAGCGCGTGGTCGCCGAATCCATGGATCGGGGGAGGTGCCCTCCCCGAAATGCGGGCGGTGCTGCCTCGTTCGGCGGCGGAAATCCGCGATGTCCAGTGGAGACGGGACCCGTCGCCAATCCACGCCCCCTTGATCCATGTTTGCGATCGCCTGAGTGTGGACTAGATAGTGCTACTATTACGCGCCGCGCGAGACCTCCAGGATTTTCCTCACAATCCATGTCCTGGAGGAGGGCCAACATGGAGACAAGGGCGACACTCCCGCACGGCCCAGCTCCGCTCGAGATCGCTCCCCCGGGGGCCCTCTCCGGGCCCCAGCCTGGCTTATTGTTAGGTCGGGCATGTCCCCCTACAGGCGGATTGTGGACGAAAACCAAAAAATAGTCGAAACATGCTCCGAAATAGTCATCACAAATAAGTCAAAGACTCGTCCCCAGACTATGTTTCACTAGTTTCGCATACTCCTCCTCTGTAGAGGGACAGGCTCGACTTAAACGTGTTAATTGAAGCGGGAAGCGGGTCCACCTGTGGTGACGAGAAACCTCCTCCAGGAGGCGTAACAGGAACGCAAAAACTCCGAAGAAGGCCGCCCTTGTCTCGCTTCCACACATCCGGTCTTGAGATGCCTTCGCAGCGTGAGCGACAAAGCGACCTCACGCGGTAGACGTCACGCGTGGCCTCACGTGAGCGACAAAGCCACAGAGCGACCTCACGCGTGACCTTACGCAGGACGACGTAGCGACCTCACGCGGCAGATTACGCGGGCCGCCAGCGCGGCACGCTACTTTGGAAACGAGGGCGCTCACGCGCGACCTTACGCGGGCAGCTTACGCGCGAATGTCCGCGCAGTCAAGAACATGTTTCTGCGTTGCTCGCGTGGCTCTCAGGAGATCCGGACCACTTCCCAGGGGCCGGCAAGGGCCCCCGAACGCGAAAAAATTATAAAAAGCACTCTCGTCGCGGTTGTCTCGTGACGCGAGGCTCGCAGGGTTGGACCTCCTCCGCTCTTCGCCCGCCTGGAATGATCCTCCCGCTGACCTACGGCCAGGGGCGGAACGAGCGCGGCGCGCGCGCGACCGCGCGCGCCGCGCCTTCACGATCGGTCGGCCGCCGCCGCCGCCGGCGCGGCGCCGCGCCGCGCCCCCCCCCCCCCCGGCTGTCCCAGTGCCCTGCTCTGGCTCCCTCGCCCCGTCCCCCTGATTGCTCGTCGTTTCCCCCCTCCCCAGCCCTCCCTCCCCCCATCATCCTCCCCTTCCTGCAGGCCTCCTCCTCCTCCTCCTCCTCCTCCTCCTCCTCCTCCTCCTCCTCCTCCTCCTCCTCCTCCTCACTGTCCCTCCCTCGTACCATTGCCGTTTTCCATGTTTGAGTGAGTGAGTGTATGTATGCATGGATATCTGTATGTATGTATGTATGTATGTATGTATGTATGTATGTATGTATGGATGTATGGATGTATGGATGTATGGATGTATGGATGTATGGATGTATGGATGTATGGATGTATATATGTATATATACCTATACGACCACCCTGTGGGTGTTAAGGAGGTCAGGGGGGAGGGGGAACCAACGTCTCACTCAATCGATTTCGCTATCGATCTCACAATCGATCTCACATTCGATCTCACTATCGATCACTATCGATCTCGCTATCGATCTCACTATCGATCTCACAATCGATCTCACAGTCGATCTCACAATCGGTCTCACATTCGGTCTCACTGTCGATCTCACTATTGATCTCACAATCGATCTCACAATCGACGTAATCATCATCATCATCATCATCATCATCATCATCATCATCATCATCATCATCATCATCATCATCATCATCGCCATCATCAACATATCGATCTCACAATCGATCTCACATTCGATCTCACTATAGATATCACTATCGATCTCGCTATCGATCTCACAATCGATCTCACAATCGATCTGACAATCGATCTCACATTCGGTCTCACATTCGGTCTCACTGTCGATCTCACTATCGATCTCACAATCGATCTCACAATCGACGTCATCATCATCCTCATCATCATCCTCATCATCATCATCATCATCAACATCAACATCAACATCATCATCATCATCATTATCATCATCATCATCATCATCATCATCATCATCCTCATCATCATCCTCATCATCATCATCATCATCATCATCATCATCACCATCATCATCACCATCATCATGATCATCGGGGACCATCACTATCGGGACACCGACGGGACACCGGCGGGACACCGCGCGCCACCGGCCGCCCGGAAGAGACACATTTGGTCCAGCCGCGCCTCAGCCACAGGGACACCGACGGGACACCAGCGGGACACCGGCGGGACACCGCGCGCCACCGGTCGCCCGGGGGGTGAATCATTTTGTCCGGCCGCGCCTCAGCCACAGGAGACTTTCCTCTCGCCCGCCCACACAGCTTCGCCTCGCCCGCCCGCACGGCACGCACGAACACGAAACCGAAATCGATTTCCCGGTAGGGGGGCTCTCCGTTCCACTTCGATCTCACCCCCTCACCTCCGATAGATGTGTGTATGCATGTATATGAGCATCGTTTATCCGATCCCTATCCCCAGCGGCGTGGCCTGGGCCCCACTGGCCGATTTATCCCCCTAGATGGCGGTATAGGCCGTTCTTTTCGGGTTTCGAGGGGTGTATCCCCAACTGGGGGGGTAATTTGGTGGGGGTCTCGAAGGGAATGGGGATGGGGATGGGGTCGGTGAAACGTTAAACGATACGGAGTATAGAGACACAGGTGTATACATGTGTATGTGCCAGACATGCATGTGTACCAGACAGATTGGACGGGGCCCACCAGGCAACCTGTTGGGGTTGGCGTCCTGGCAGGGGCCTCCCTGCAAGAGCCCACAACAGGTTCCCCCGAAACGCGTGTCGCAAGCCGGGAGGGTCTACAAAAACGCGCCCTGCCCTCCCAGATGCCCCCCGTGCAGGCCATTCCCCTCGCGCCACCTCCTTTGGGCGTGCCGCCCCTCCCCCCCTTCCATTTCGAGGTCTCTGCTCCTGCCGCGCCTCGCCCACAATATCGCTCGATCGCAACGTCCACGAATGCTCGCACGCACCCACATGCAAGAAAGGCGCGAGAGGGGGGGGGAAACGAAGGAAAAAAACGAAGAAACGGTGGGGTCCTTCCTCCTTTTCGCCGGGTGGGGGACTCGAGATGCCGGACGTTCTGTGCTCATTTCCGTGGAGTCAGGCTCCGAGCGGGGGCCTTCGGCCTCCGCAAAGGGGGGATTCCTTCGGGGCCCGTTTGCTTCCTCTGCGCTCTTTGGGAGCCTGTTTGGGTTCCTTTGGGTGCCGAGGGCTCGGGGGCCTGGGGCCCGGGGATGGGGGTTCCGGGCTCCGGGCCCGTGGCCGTGGGCCCATGGCCGTGGGCTCAGGGCCTGAGGTCCACGGCCCAGGGGCTCAGGCTCGGGGCCCAGCGTGAGGCTCCGGGCTCGTGGCCCAGGGCCTCGGGACACGGGCCTCGGGTCTCAGGGCCGAACACTGAGGACACGGGCCTTCGGAGGAGCCCCCCACGGGGCTACGAGGCGCGCGGCCGCGAAGCGCGCTAAAAGCCGGCCAAAATAGGACGGGGCCGCCCTGCGAACCCTGCCGCCGGGGCCTTTGGTGCAGCTCCCTGCTGGGCCGCGACACGCGTGGGCGGCGCGCCAACATGGGGCGGGGACGCGATGCGCACGCTGAAATTGACGCCTTCGGTGGAGCTCCCTATGGGGCCGCGAACCGCGCGAGGGGGCGTGCAAAAATTGGGCGCCAGGCGCGCGCGGGCCCCGCCTCCGGGGCTTTCGCGGCCACCGGGGCGTTCGGTGGACCTCCCGCAGGGCCGCGGCGCGCGAGAGTGGCGCGCCGAAGTGGAGCGGGGCCGCCATGCGCACCCTGCAACTGGAGCCTCCGGCGGAGCTCCCATGGGGCAACGAAGCGCGTGAGGGGTGTGCCGACATGGGGCGGGGCCGCCAGGGGGGGCCCCGCCACTCGGGCAGTCGGCGGAGCTCACTATCGGGCGGCGAGAAAGGTAAGGGGCGCGCCAACATGGTCGGCGAACGCGTTGATGATTGACAATATGACCGCGGCGGTGATGGTGGCGATGATTACGATGATTATGATGATGGCGACGATGATGAAGATGATGGCGATGCTGACAATGAGAGGAGGAGGGGGCGTGGAGAAGAAAGCAGGAGGGAACGCGGGGTGCTGTCTCTTCAAAAAGAAGACACAACGCCACAATATGGTTGGGCACAAACACCTCAACAGCGGTTCAATAAGACTCCAAGCAAGGCCCGCACGCCGAAGTCGAGCTCGTCGGATCGCCGTCTTCATTCCTCCCACCCCCCCCCCGTCATATCCTCCCCCGTGACCCGCTGCCTCGCCGCCCTCCCTCTTCATTGTCGAATCTCGTCCACCGTGGCCTCCTCCGCGCTGCATCCTTCTTTTTTGGCCTGGCCGCTCCTCTTGCGATCCTGAAAAGCTGTGGCGCCCGAAAATCCCCTTGCATCCGCCTCGCCATCTCTGTGCCAACATCGCTGCCATCTTGCGGGCCGCGTGAACAACGTTTGCCTTCGACACGCCCTCCTGAATTCATCGCGTCGCAATGCCTCCGCCCCCCTCCAATCATGCTGGCGCAGCTGCTTCAACCATCTGCTCATGCGACGCAGCGCCATGACCAAATTGAGCCCCCCCCCCCCGCCGGCGCGTCGAAATCCCCCCCCCCTCGATCGACGCAGGCCCCATTGAACTCTCGCCCTGAGGCCCCGAACAAGTCTGCCAACAGTGCCACGTGTAGCTATCGAGGCTACCGGGATTGCGCCTTGTAGTTTTCAGTGTAACCGTTTGCCAATGTGCAAACAACAGTTCGCCGCATTCTCGATCGGCTCGTGGCTTGCTGAATTCGCAACGGTGTGTCCTCCGAACAACGAGCTGCAAGTTCTTCTCGCTGACCTCGAAATTCGGCCTCGACATGCATGGCAGAAGCTCTCCGCTTGTCGCCAAACTGTAGCATCCCTGCAAGCGTTCTCCATCCAACTTCACTCTAAGTTCCTCCTCTAGCAGCGACAGCAAGCGAGAAGCAAGCTGCCAGAGGTACATGATCCCGAGTTCCACTCAGCTTGTGTATCTGGATACGCTAGCTCTGGTCCGATGTGTTGTACAACACGTGGCCGAAGGCACCCACTGCTGCGGCACGGTGAAGCAATCCACCGTCAACTGCTTCCCCTTGTTGAAGTACGTCGGCCGTCCTGAAGCAAAACGTACGCTTGGGGCAAAAAATGAACCATGTCCATAGTAACGGTGAAAACGCTTAAATTCAACCTGCCTGCCACATCGTCAGCCTTGTCGAATTGACCATCCATGTTTGTGAAAATAACTGGCGGCGAACGGGCCGAAGTATTTTGCTGTAGTTCGGTGGACCAACACAACATAATACAAATAGACAATTCCGTTATCGTGGTCCACGTCCTCCTTTTGGGCACGGTGGGAAGTAAGCGGCAACCAAAAGAACGCCAATATGAACACGCTCTAACTTGATTGATCAAGCCCGTCCTCTCAACCCTTTGGCACTGGTATGAAGCCACGGACACAAAGTCTAGGACGCGTTCTCCTGTGAATCCAAAAGTTTACTCCACAACTCTGGTTCACATGTTGATTGGCTGCTATGCCGCCCCCGTTTTAACGCCCAGGGGGGCACGGAAGTCGCAAGTGGCTCCAACATGTCCCTCCCGAGCGCCTCTGGGTCACGACGCGCCCAATCACATCTATGCTTCACAGCTCGTCCACGATATCCTGGGGGCGGCTCTTGTTCGCGCTGAACGGATTAACGTGCAGAACGAGACGCCGCCCACGGGTCGACCAGATCCATCGCAAGCCCCCCGACTGATGTGTGGCATAGATCATGCCCGCGGAAAGAGGTGGCGAATGGGGGGGACCACCCCCCGATTCGAGAAGACGGCCACCCTCCTCCTCCTCCTCGTCCTCCTCCTCCTCCTCCTCGTCCTCCTCTTCCTCCTCCTCTTCCTCCTCCTCGTCCTCGTACTCCTCCTCGTCCTCCTCCTCCTCCTCCTGTCCTGCGGCCCGGGAGAGCGCGCGTGCCCGCACCACCCTCGGGGAGTCAGCAGCCGCCGGCAGCGTGCGGCGTCGCGGCGGCCTGCGAGGCCGTGCCGTCGGGTTTCGCGGGCGATTCCGCCTGCGCGGCTGGGGGGCGGGGCGGGGCGGGGTCGGCGGAGGGGCCCGGCACTCGCGAGGAAGGCTCGAACTTCGATCCTTAAAGGCTTGACGACCTTCTTCCAATCGGCTTGCGGGGGAAGGCCAGACAAAACAAGGCAAACGCAAGGAAATCGAGGCACATCCAACTACATCCAGAGATACCCACAGGAATTTGGGAAGAGTTCGCTGCCGCTCATGCGCGATTCGAAGGACGGCAGACGATATTAAGCTTTTAGCGGCTCGATGTTTACGTGTTTTAACGTTTTCGGCCCTGTCTGGGGCCCCCAAGGTCGCCCTCGTGGTCGGGACGCATCCCTTGACAAGTCGGGAGTATGTGTTGTTACTGCCAGGCTGGGGTCGCCAGCGGTCCTAGCGGGAACGGTCTTTGAAATGTTTCCCCGCGTTCGGGCACTGGGTAGCAGACCCGTTTACCTCAAAACACATCTCGTTCATGTTGCCGCACACTCGGCGAGGAAGTGTCAAAGCGACGAAAGTTCTGACTTCAGCACCCGCGCGCACCTGCATGCGCACGACTGGTGTTCGAGGTAGGTTCGTTTGGATCAGGCACCCCGAACCAAAGCTCTTCAGCCGCCGCTGACGCAGCAACGCCGTGCTTCGTACTCCTCCTCCATGTTCCCTTTCTCCGAGCACTGCATCCCGCGACGGCCCAGCGTGAGATGGAGGTTCTCGGAAGGGCGATCGGAAATGTCTGAAAAGTTTATTTGCGACGATGATGGCGCCCATCGACAACGACTACCGTCGACGAGCCTGGACGACAACCGTCGACAATCCTCAACAAGGACCCTGCGCTACCCTGCGCGACGGCGACGGCGACGACGACGACGCCAACGTTTCGTCCACGCCGCGTTCCATCCCCGCGGCTGGCCGGCGGCGGCGCGGGGGGGGGGGCCCGCGGGGCGTGGCGGCGAGGCGTCCCCCGAAAGGTCGGGCGGGACGGGGCGGCCGCGCACGGCCGGCGTTGGGCCGCGCGGTTTCCGCAGCCACGCCGACCGGAAAGCCGCTGGACTTCGACAAGGGTTATGTCGACCCCTATCCCAAGCTTCGTGGGTTTTCGAATGGACCAAAAATTGTGAGGTCGAACCTAAGGGATTACGATGGAAGCGTTCATCCTCGATAGGGGTGCGTCCGAACAGCCCCCTTGGGAAGTATCCCAGAGTTCTCCAAATTTCTGAGCGGCCGAATTTGTCGGGTGGAGCTCTGGGACTGGGGACGAATAGCCACCTGCGACTACTGAGCCGGCCCCAAAGAAATAACGCCTGGTAGGAAAAGGCGAGGCTGCCAGCGTGGCGTGTGAGAATCCGTCTCGGGCCTCGGGCCCGTCGGAAAACTACCCACGGTGAGCATGGTCGGCCCACGGAGCCAAATTCGCCGGCCCAACGGGCCAGAGGCGTGCTAAGATCTCTAGTAACTGGTTCACAGTACTTCTAGTTCGCGCGCGCGGGGCGGCCCCTGGGGGTCCCCGGACGAACAGTACCACGGCAAGGTCCCGGGAGGAGCCACCAGAGCACTCCAAGGGAGGGCCATTTTTCGGCACCCCGCACGAGGATCGTGGCCTCCGAGGGGGGGGGGCGCAATCGACTACCCCCCCTCCCGCCCTAAGAGACCTCCAAGAGCCCCCCAAGAGGCCCTGGGGCCCCCCAAGACGCCGCCAAGGAGCCCCAAGAGACTCCCAAGAGGGCCCCAAAAAGCAACATTCATTGTTTTTTCCTTAGGTTTGGGGGAGATTTTGGCGTTTCCACCTGTTCGGCACCGCGACGCCCAAAGACGGCCCAAGAGGCCTCCAAGATCGCCCTAAGAGGCCCGAGAAGCCTCGGACAGGGCCCCAAGACAGCCCAAGAGGGTTCCAAAAAGGCCCAAGAGGTCTCCAAGATGGCCCAAGGGGACCCCGAGAACGCTCTGAGAGAAACCCCAGAAAAAGGAACACTAAACAACATTTCGAGCCCTCGGCCCTAAGAAGCCCCCAGGAGGCCCCGCAAAGGCCCTCGAGATAGCCCCCAGACGCCCCACGAGGCCTTCAAGAGCACTCCCAACAGGGCCCCAAGAGGCAAAATTCACTGCTCTTCCCCAAGCTTGGGTGAGATTTTGGCGTCTCCACCTTTGCCGCATCGCGACGCCCCAACACGGCCCAAGAAGCCCCGAAGATCGCCCTAAGAGGCCCGAGGGGCCTCCGAAAGGGCCCCAAGACAACCCAAGAGGGTTCAAGACGGCCCAAGAGGCATCCAAGAGGGCCCCAAAGAACGCTCTAAAAGAAACCCCAAAGGGGGAGCACGAAACAACATTTCGAACCCTCGGCCCTGAGTCCCCCGGGAGGCGTCAAAAGGTCCCTTTGATGCCCCAGGAGGCCCCCCAAAGGCCCTCACGAGGCCCCCAAAAAGCCCCCAAGCGGCCCCTAAGCGGCTCCCTGAAGCCCCAAGATGCCCCCAAATGCTCCCAAAGGAGCTCCAAGAAACCCTAAAGGGGCTCCAACAGAAACCCAAGAGGCCCCCAAGAAACCCCCAACGAGGACCCCCCCAAAACCCCAAACGCCAGCGAAGGCACAATACGGACCGGCGGAATGAACGAACCGATTAAATAGTCCAATGAAGACGTGAAGTTTCAAAAACACTTAAGTGGGGGAACGGGCATTGGCACTGATGCGCATTTCAATGCTCATGTACCGTGTCAAAGGCTATGCTGCGCTGCGCCCTGTCGACTTGAACTCTGCCCAGCCTCGTTGAGCTGAGCTGTGCTTGATTGCGTCGTGGACCTCGTCGCCCCCTGCATGCGATTCAGGACCGAAGTGCTATGGACCTGAAGCTCGGGATGCCTGAACGCATAGCTCGCACAAAGCTGGTTGAGGTCAAAGCGGGCGGGGCGCTCAACCAGCTCGAAAATTAAGATCTGGTTCGGATCCAATAGTGTCGGCTTGTGACTAACAAAAAAGGGGGCGCACGATGCAACAAATATTCATCTGCTCGGGCGAATCGCGGGGGGTGCGCCCGCCAAATTGAAACACGGGGCGGCGGCGCCGGTGATTAGCGCCGACGCCCGGCCGACTGAAAAAGGGCGACAGGCGCGACGCAAGCGTCGCCGCTTCCGCGGAGGGTGGCAGCAGCGCCTCCGACATAGCGGGGCGGTTGGGCCAACATCGCCACAGACAGGAGAGAAAGAGGAGGCGGGGGAAAGAGGCGCCTCGGCCGGCGGGCGGTGCCGATATGGCTACAAACAAGAAAAGGAAGAGAGTGGGACAAGCAGAACAGGCAGGCGGAAAGGGTTGCCTCTTCTCCTTCTACGACGTCCTAGGACCACGACGACGACGACGACGAGGACAACGACGGCGACGCGACGGCGACGACGACGGCGGACGACGACGCACTGCGGAGGCTCAAGGGGGGGGGGGGGGCGGGAATGCGACGCATGCCCGCTGTAGTCGTCGACGACGGCGACGGCGTCGGAAACGACGACGACGACGACAACGACGGACGACGACGCACTGCGGATGCCTTAGCTGTAGTCGGCGACGACATCGACGACGACGGCGACGACGACGGCGACGACGAGGACGAGGTTTAGGACGACGACGACGACGACAACGGCGACGACGACGCACTGCGCATGACCTATGGGTGGGGGGGTGCGTAGCCCCGCTGTAGTCGACTGACAACGGACGATGACGACGACGACGACGACGACGACGACGACGACGACGACGACGACGACGACGACGACGACGCGACGACAACGCACTGCGGATGCTGTGG